AGACCCTTCTACCCAAACTTCATTTTGCATAGATGTGTTAAATGTCACAATTATTCAGCATTCCTGCTTTTAATAGTGTGAGTGAGAGGATATTAGGTACAGAAGCAACTGATGCTGATAGAAATTACAAAGAGAGAATCCAGGCAGTGGTGTGGCGAAGCTCAGTGGTAGAAAGCTTAGCTAGCTTGCACGAAGCCCTGGACTTGATCTCCATTGTCACAAACAATACATAATCTAATACTTAACTTGAGTCCTGCCAAGTGGCCTCATTGGGCCTGGTGAAAGAGTGGAGCTGGTGCATAGATAAAGGAACAGGGTGGTGGGAGGCAGCTGAAGCACTGAAGATGCTGAGGAAAGAAAGGGAGGAACCTGTTGACATATTACAAGTCTGGGAGATGGGACTTAAGAAACCCTTCAGTGCCTCTTGGAATAGTTGGAAAATACTTTAAAGATTCTTGTTCCTCAAATGGAAGAAGTCTGTGGCATTTGAAAATTGAAGAGTGTCTTGTAATATTCATGCCTATAAATCTCAGCCATGTAGGAGGCTTTCATAGTTAGGGTAAGAGAGAGTTAAGAAGCTTGTTCCAATCATCTTTCATGTTTTGATGTAGTACTGTTGATCTTTTCCAGAAAAGACCTTGTAGGGGTGTTAGAAAGAGCCAGAGCATTAGCTGAAAATTCTAAACAGTACTGCCCCCTTGTCTAAAGTCATTGCTGTGCAAAGAGAGATGGCATTTCTCTGTGCTATTTCCATACTTGAGACCTCCCTCTCTCACATCTACATAATTTTTATGAACTCTAGTGTATTGATTCCTTCTATTAACTACCTTTATGCTATGTCTAGTCTTCCCCACCCCAATATTAAGTAAATATTTACTTGTTCTTTTTTTCTGATTCTTCTCAGGTTTTGACTTTTACATTTAAATCTTATTTTTGGTGTGAGGTAGGGATCTATTTTTTTCCCTTCCAAATAGTCATTTACAGTTATCTCAACATCATCTTATTGAATGTGTCAATGTTTCCCCACTGATTTTTGATATCTACCTTCAAATCCTACTTTCAAACAGACAGTACTCTCATATATCATACCTGATCAGACCTCATTCATCCTGAATTTGGCCTTCTACATTCTAGGCAGTTAAGGTTTGGGCCCTATGCAAAGTATCCTCTGGCCCTCCAGTGGCTCCATTCAGCAGCATTGCCATCTTTTTCTATCCAGCAGATTGTGTAATTATTTAAGCATTTTTTTAAATTTTGCTCAAGTTTGATAAAAAATTAAGGAGAGAAGGGAGAAAAATCAAAGTGTTGGTTAACAAAGATGRGCCTTATAAGTTTAAGTATAGAACATTTAAGATATAGAAATCATTTAGGTTACAAAAAAAAAGTGGCAAGCCTTTCTCAATCTGATGCTTATTGGACTCAGGCTGGTTATCTTGGATTATGAAAGTGAGAGAGAAAAGCCAAATTAAGAAACATAAACACAGTTGTGGAAATGAGTAGTCTAAGATTGTCTAAGTAGGAAAGGCAATCTCCAGGCTGAAATGATTACAATGGTAACATAAAGATGACTAATAACCTTCCCCAGCAAAACTGGGCAAAGGACACAGCTGCTCTGGTGTATACTCTTCTCTTCTGTGCTCATGATTTACCTCTAAGTGTGGCACATCCATAAGAAATGTTCTGTGGTCAAAGCCTATCTTAACACCTAAAAGTAAAACTGAAAATAACACAAAAGGGAAAAAAGAAAAAAACCCACTGAGTTATTTTTCAGTCTAGTTCCATATGTCWGTAGCATCTAACCTTTTTCAACCCCTGTATGCAAACCATCATCATGTCCTGTTGAATTTTACTTTTCTTCCCTTCATCTACCACCATCACCACTCTGGTCCAGGATTCCTCATCTCATGCCTGAACCATGTAGTAGGCTCATGATTAGTCTCACCACATTCATGCTTGTCTTCTGTCAGTCCATTGTCTATGCTGCACCCAGAATGATCTTTAAAAAATGCTAAGTCTGATTATGTGAGCCCCATCTCCAATTCAAACCCATATTGGTAGTCAAATTGTTTGCATGGTGGCCACTGTCTTTCATGTGACCCGCCTCAATTTTCATCATGGTTTCCCTCTCCCTGGCTTGCCTCCAGTCTCTTCTCCTTCCTACCTTGAGAATTATCTGGAATAAATACTTCCCCTAGTCCCAGAATTAATTCCCACCATCTGTAGATCTCTGGTAAGCCTTTCCTGTCCTCAGATAAGGTCATGCCCCAGTTTGCTCTTATGACACTTGATTGTCATGTGTCCTTCCTTCATAACCCTTGTCACTGGAGCATGTAGTCACACTTACATGATTATTTGATTAGTGTCTGCTTCCTTCACGGGATTCACTGAACTGAAATCCCCTCATGTGCCAGAACCACATCTATTCTTTTTTACTGTATTCCTAGTGACTAGCCCAAAGGAAATTCCCAATAAATGTTTCCTGAATGTTGTTCTTTTTTTTTTTTTAATTTTTTTCTAGGGTTTTGAGATGTAATGTTAGGTAATTTATTTGTTGATTTTTTATTCTTTTTAAGTTATTTATTCTAATTAGGTATATATGACAGCAAAATGCATTTTGATTCATTGTACACAGTTGCAGCACAACTTTTCATTTCTCTGGTTGTACACGATGTAGCGTCGCACCATATGTGCAGTCACACATGTGTACATTACCTAGGGTAATGATGTCCATCTCATTCCACCATCTTTCCTGCCCCCATTCCACCTCTGAATGTTGTTCTTATGTGCCCTTTTGGCAGTCTTGTCTGACAAACAAGATTTCATCAAGAATTTGTTTAAATTTTAAGATAGATAACATTGGCTCCAAATATTTTGATTTTGATTTTTTTAAATATATTTTTAGTTGTACAAAAAATTGTTATCTATCTTAAAATTGTACGTGGACACAATACCTTTATTTAATTAATTAATTTATTTATATGTGGTGCTGAGGATCGAACCCAATGCCTCACATGTGCTAGGCAAGTACTCTACCATGAGCTAAAGCCCCAGCCCCTTGATTTTTATTTATAGATTTAATGTGCCTATAATATTAATAAATGTCTTTCAGTAGAATATTGTCTTTTGCTTCAGAGTGGTATTTTCATTCTCTCACTTAGAATCTGAATCTTCAGAATTGCATAGGCTAAAAATCTTCAAAAATGATAAGATTTATCAGTGTACATTTCTGTTTAATTGTGTGCCTACAACTTTGTATACATAGATAATACTAAATATGTTTGTTGACCCTTATTATTATATATTATTCTCATTTGAACATTCTGTATCCACAATATACAGTTCAGGAAGGAAAGGGGAAAAAATCATCTATCACACTACTACTCAAACTCACATTTTGGTGGATTTTAGTGTGTGTGTGTGTTATTTGTTTCCCTGCAGTGCTGGGGATCAAACCCAGGGTCTTGCACATGCTAGGCAAGTACTCTACTACTGAGCTACATCCCCAGGCCATCTTTTCGTTTTTTATTGTACATTATTAGCATTGCCATAATCACAATATATATAAAAATTTGTGTCCTGCTTTTTCCCCATAAATAACTTACAGTTGATTGATCAAAGTATTATATTCTGTATGACATTGTAGATAAGCCTAATTCATTCAGTGCAATTTAGTAAATATTTATGAGGAAATACACTGTGCTAGTACCATTCCATACATCTAACACCTTTCAGAGAAAATACACAGGTTTGGTACCTTGACTCTACAGCAACAGAATACTGTAGTTAGGAAGCATTTAGAGACATTTTTACTGCACAGATATATTTTATAGCATCTCCTGTCCTTCCTCAAAGCAGGAGTAAGTATTCGTTTAATAGCTTCTTCATTTATTCAACAAATTGATTATGGATCACCCCCACACCAGGCACTCCTCTATGTACTGGAGATTCAGCAGTGAATAAAAATCCCTGTGTTGGGAGAACACAGTGCAACAAGAATGAATGAATCAATGAGTCAGGTGATAAGTAGAGAAAGAAAAATAGTAGGGTAAGAGGGATGAATAATGGCAGGTGGGAGGGGCTGCTCCTTTCTAAGGTCAGGGAATGCCTCTCTGGATGGTGACATTTGAGCAGACACCTAAATGGAATGAGGAGTGAGCTGTGCAGCTGTCAAAGGGTAGTATTTTTCCTGGCAGAGGGATCATCAGGTACAAAAGCCCTGAGGTTTTCAAGGAATAGCAAGGAGCCAGAGTGAGAAGGTAGATAAGAGTAGAAGTCAGTTGGGGGTGAGGCCTCTGGCTTTTCCTCTGAGATGGGAAGTAGCAGAATAGTGACTTGGTCTGACTCATGCTTTAATAGACTACTTCATTCTCTAGTCTTCTATGTTCCTCCTCAGAGGCCTTTTAGTTCCCACCTTCATCACCCTCTGTATGCACGACCTTAAGCCATAGCTTATAGACTTTCTTTTAGACAAAAGCATGGTGTACTTATACCATGAAGGGCTTATTCCCTGTACCTACATGTGCAGGTAGATAATTAGCCACACTCTGTGGTGTCACAGGATCAGAGTTGATTATCACTGTTCTAAGGAACTAGGCCCATTCCACATATTTGAAAAACTACCTTAACATTTTCATTTCTTGATCTTTTGCTCACTTGAGGCAATTGYAACTCACTGAAAATAATGACCAAATGTGTTTTTCGAATTGCATATAAAAACTTAACCTAGTAGGGCTTACTGTCAGCCTATAATTATTAAGCATGCTTCAACCTCTGACAATCTAGAATCCAGCTTTATTTTTTTATGTTTTATTTGTTGGTCGGTATGGGTGGAGGGAATCTAATTATAATCTTCCTTGAATTGCTTTATGGTTAGATCTGTCACATGCCAAAGTTAGATCCCATTAGCAGGCTTAAAACATTTATTTCTGAAAGAACAAACTGTTATACTGTTACATGTTGCTTAGGGTAATTGATTTCTTTTGTTTTCTTTCTTGTTACAGGAGGAGACATCAAGCTTTCCCAGATTGGGAGAAAAAATATGGAATGTGTTTTACTGCTGACTGAACACAACCAAATGAACTGTACTGACAGTAGTTTGAAAACCAGCAGTTAGCAGTTTGTTCAGACTCTAACACTGTCCAGCACTTTCCAGAGCAAACTCACTGTTTACAAGAACTCTCGGCCTTACGAAGTTTATAACCTCAAGCTTTGTTTATTTAAAATATTTCTGCGAAAGAAAAGTACCCGAAGCCTATTTTCCAAAATGGCCATGGATGAGTATTTGTGGATGGTCATTTTGGGTTTTATTATAGCTTTCATCTTGGCATTTTCTGTTGGTGCAAATGATGTTGCCAATTCATTCGGTACCGCCGTGGGCTCTGGTGTGGTGACCTTGAAGCAGGCATGCATTTTGGCTTCAATATTTGAAACCACCGGCTCTGTGTTGTTGGGGGCCAAAGTAGGAGAGACTATTCGAAAAGGTATCATTGACGTGAACCTATACAACGATACCGTAGAAATACTTATGGCTGGGGAAGTTAGCGCCATGGTTGGTAAGTAGCATAAGTCTTTACACCAATGAGTSATGTGTCCACTGGCCTATTTCCCTACTACAACTCTCTCCATATCCATAAGTGTGATTTTTGTTTTAACTTTTCAAAAACTGATTTGATGTTTCATATTTACTATTCGATTGCTTCTCACTTTCTGCATTTAATTTGGTTGTGACTTTTTAAAGCATTTATTTTCTCAAATTATTAGCAGTCTTGATGGTTACAATAAATTTCAGATAGGTGAATACATCTCACAAAGTTGAAAAATATAGAGTAGCTCTTCATTGTTTTGGAGTTATTTTAAAGTTATGAAAGAAATAATATTATCTAAATRTGTTTTCAAAGTTTACCTATGAAATTTCCTTGAAGGTTGATTTATGGTTTTACTTAGGATGTAGCATTTTGAAATGTGACTGTCAAAAAATATATGCATATATAAATTAGAGGGCTAGAGGTGTGGCTCATTGGTAGAGCACTTGCCTATCATGGGCAAGGCCCTGGATTCCATCCCCAGCATTGGGAAAACAAACAACAGCAACAAAACCAACACTCATGGGACTGAGTGAGAATGTAGCTCAGTGGCAGAATACATGTTTAGTATGCACAAGGCCCTGGGTTGAATTCTCAGAACCAAAAATTAAACAGATAATATTTATTATTTTAACTCTTGTGTTCTTCATTTAAGTTCTAGTGCCATTACCAAATGAATTTAAGTGGTTACATTTCAAGCAGTTCTGGTCTTTTTTGTTATCAGTAGTCCTTTTTTTTTTTTTTTTTTTGGCTCTTGTTTTGATTTCCTGCTTCTACCACTGGGAACGACTTTTGATACGTGTGTGGGTTTTTCTGGCCAAAACATAATTTGTATATCACCTGCATATACTATGACCTTTTATTGGTAGTTTTCAGTTGTCTAGATGAAGGAAAGAATTGAGCTGAGTGAACTGTGTTGATGTGCAAGTAAACTGGTTGGTCAGTGTGATTACTCCCTTGCCCATAGTGACCGTAGCCTTGAAACACTATGGGGACACTTCCTTGCAATTTAAAGAAAAGTCCAGGCAGGAAAACACTAAGTGCAGCTGACAGGACTCTTTCTCTGCTTGCCTCTAGGTAGAGATGACGTCACAGCAGACAGCTGATCTATACGGGTAATTTGGTTAGGGAGAAGAGGGTTAGAGAGGAATTCCACCACCTTCTGCTTTCAACAGGACATATCCTTTTGTAGGAAGAGTCCTGCAGTAGGAGGTAAGATGCTGGTGTACCAAGAACACAGCCACATTCCACAGGTCCCTAGTTATTTATGGTGTCACTAGCATTCCTTATGCACCTAGAATGTGGAGATTACTTGCCATATTGAAGGTCACCCACTATCTTTCTTTATAAAAAGTTACTTTTAGAAGTCATTGAAGGCATCTGACAGAAACAGACTGATATACTAAGATGTTCAATATTAAAAACACAGTAAGCTAAGAGGTTCTTATTTTTCAACATTTTGTATTGTAAAGATGTAAGTTTCTAGATTGCTTTAATTCCAACCACTATTTTAATTATTGAATTTTATTTACCTTCACTGAACAAGTATTTCTCAGCAGTCAGATATATTTTAAATTCCCTTAGAAAAATAACCGTTATTTGTAAAATTCATCCTTGGTAGTTATGATAAATATCTAAGATTTAATCATATCAAGCTGAATTTGAAATTTTTCTCAACAAGATAATGTGGACAAGATGCATTGAAAATATGGGAGAAATAGAAACACTGATAAAATTCAGTGGTAACTGAATTTTTTCTTCTTGTGAGGAAAATTTTTGAGCAATGGTTGTATTTATTAAAGAGATCATTAGTTACTGAGGCTATCCTGAGGACTTAAGTTAGAAAGTTTTGTGAACTGAGCTTTATGTCACTACTAATTTTTTGTATAGTCAATATAACTTGTCCAATTTTTCATTTTTCCCACCCCTGGCCTTGGCTCTTTTCTGAAAGAATGAAGGATACTTACCTCAACTAGAATTTGGGTTTACCAAAGCAATTTGAGGTTTTGCTTCAATAACATGATTGTTTGCTTTGGTTTCTCTGTCTTTCTTTTCATTTTTTTTTTTTTTTCATGTGTGGTTAGTGGAATCTCAAAGCCTGTATTTGGGGTTGGGGGAGTTTATATGAATTACCTTGAATTTAAAAGTGGACCTCCTTGTAGAGGAGCTGTATAAATTTAAGATGGTAGTGTAATTATTATTGGCCAAAACCAAAGCTAATTTTGTTCAGAAGTCCAGATTCTTCTAGTCTTCCTCTTTTTAAATTCTTCCTTCAGTTTTTTTCTTCTTCCTCTCTCTCCCTGACCTTTTATTCTGTTCTATGATGTTCTCTTTTTTTCCTTCAGTAAATTCTCCCCCCATACATGGGCCTCTGTTTTTTCTGATAGAGTTGTGTTAGAGTTGGGTTGGTTGGTAGAAGAAATTATTGGTGCCCCTCAACTTCCTGAACAAGTTATCTTCTGACACTCAGCTCTAAAGCAATTATCTATCTACTTTGTATGAAACCACCAACTGTTGCCAATACCTACTGAGAATTCTTCTCATAGAAATACCCATGTTGGCACAAACTATTTCTTTCAAATGCCATAAGAAGCATACAGACCCCTTATAGCCACTCAGCATCCAGGGCTGCCAAGCCCTGCCCAGTCCCTGCTTATCCTTCACCTCCTGTTTCTGCTCTGTGCACCGCCCTTACCCACGCCTGTCTCCACTGTGACCCTCAACCTTTGCCATTTCTTTCATCTTCGCAGGAGCCTACTGCCTCAAGGATGCCTGATTCCCCCTTTTCTCTAGGCTTTCTTACACCTTTATCCCATAGTTAATCCCATTCCTCTTTGTAGGATATTATTATCTTACATTAAAAATCTCTCTTTCCCCCTGGATGTGAGTGTAATCCCATTTACCTTCAGCTATTCCTGAGGTTTAGGAGGCCCCTGCTCACTACCAGGTCCCCGAGCCAGTCCTGTCTCTGTTTGCCCCTCCTTACAGCTGTTCCTTTATTCTTCCCCACTCTCTCTTTTTTTCCTTCTTCCCCTTGCAGGCAGTCCCCACCCCCTTACCTTTCCTTACAAACTCTCCTCCAGGACATATATTACAAAGTCAACCAGAGAAAGGAAAGCAGTTTTCAGGAAGGAAAATCTTGTCTGAATGCAGTGGGGTGAGTTTATACCATTCTCTTACATCCCTAGATTTAAGTAATGGTTCTGGCTATGAAACATGCTCCGAACTCTAGCTTTATTTTTAGAACAACTTAGTCCCTGCAGAGTCCAGGGCTCAGATATGAAGCTTAAGGAATTGACCTCAGGGAAGCCTAGGTGCTGCCATGGAGCCTGCTACCAGCTTGGCAGCACAAAGCTGGCCCCTTCTTCTCCCAACACACGATTCAGGGGTAGACACAGGGTCACAGCCAGCCTCAGCTCAAAGGTCAGCACGCCTGGCCCTCACTGGAGCAGCTGTCCATGTTGCCTCACAAACTGGGACCTGTGCAGCCATARATGACCCTTCTGTAACTTGGATGTCTTTGAAGAAAATGCCAGGGGTCCGCTTAAAGGTGCTGCTGCTGCCAAGCAACCAGGCTTCCAGAATTAACATTTGGGATTAATAATRTACCCAGCTTATCTGCCAGACTCTTGATTCCTGTACAGTTCTGTACAGGCTTTTCAACAACTGCTTCTGAAAGCGATCTCTCCCAGCTGATGCTTTTAATACTCACTGCAAAATCTGATCTGCTTATGAAAATATCTCAAGTGAACTGTAGCCTAGAAAAACATTAAGCCTAGGAAAGTGGTGGAATGGAAGGAAAGGACACAAAGCTACAGGAAGGGCTCCCAAACACACCAAGCAGGATCTGAAAGCAGACACCCAACTCTGGGTTAAATATCACAGTTATTTTTCATATGAGAGACAAAAAAAATGTTTAATGTGGTAATTTCCACTCTTTTACAGACTAATGTGGCATAGACAATATTTAGCACTCCTCATAATGTGACTACAAGGCATAACTGTAACAAAACTTTTCCCCAGTGTGTTGCCTTTCTTATCTGTCTATGTGTGGTAGAGTCTTTAATCTCTTGCTGATTTTGGCCAAACTTCACACCAAACAAGTTCATCATTGGCATATTCACCCTCAYGTGACAAAGGCAAGTGATAACTGGCATCAGGAGACTTGTCTTTAAATACATAGTCGTCATAATCTCTTCCATGTTGAAGAAGGGATAGTCCTTCCTTCAAGGTAATTGAGCAATTTTTGTCTGGTCCTCAGCACTTTATAAAAAAAATAATCCATAGAAAATTAAGCTYGGGGAGCTGGAGTTGTAGCTCAGTGGTAGAGCACTTGTCTGGCATGTGTGAGACCCTGGGTTCAATCCTCAGCACCACATATAAATAAATAAAATAAAAGATCCATTGACAACTAAAAAATATTTAAAAAAAAAAAGAAAAGAAAATTAAACTCAGGGAAATGTTGTTATAGAGAATAATAATTTGGACTTCTTACCTTGGTGGCTAAGACTGTACTATGTGTCTGATTTTATTTCATTTTTATCTTTCAATTCACAGGTTCAGCTGTTTGGCAGCTGATTGCATCCTTCCTGAGACTTCCAATCTCAGGAACTCATTGCATTGTTGGTTCAACCATAGGATTCTCACTTGTTGCAATTGGTACAAAAGGTGTGCAGTGGATGGAACTTGTCAAGATTGGTAATTGCCATTTTCTTTTACCTATAAGAAGGAAAGTTTACCTTTTCTAGAGTAAGTTTTATTACAAGTTACTTTATATTTTTCCCTTCAAATGTTAAGATTTAGAAGACCTGTATGGTATGAGTAATGCTTTCCCCCTTAGAATTTCTGTTAAAGGAGATTGTGAACTGTTAGACAGTTTTAAACTCCATTCTTTTAAAATTTTACATTGTCATTCAGCTTTGAAAATCAGTATTTATTTGTTCTTCCCAGGCAGAAGAGAAATTTATTTGATTGAAGTCAATCTAAAGGTCAGAGAAAGACTAGGCCGGAAGTAAGGAAAATGGCACTGAACCCAGGAGCTCATGGTTATGGGGAGGCAAATTAAGCCAGTGTTATTAACCTCCCTGCAGTCAAGACATTGTCCAGTCTGCCCCCTAGGGAGGAAGCATTGTAGTGTTCCTTGGAGGTTATAGGTGTGCTGAGCAGGGACCAAAACAGGCCAACACTCATTCTAAGAGTAGTAAYAGTTTACTTCCTGGCTATGCTTTTAGCACAAGGTAAATCCACTCAACCTCATGCACATCAACCCACTCACAGTGAAAAAGGCTCTTTTGCCCCATCGCCATCTCTGTGTTGCTCATTCTTCTACCAGAATCACCAGGTTAATCAGGTCTCTGAGCTGCCAATCAGAAACACAAGCCACCAGGAAAATTACCTTATATCTGAGTGGTCATCAATTAGCTACACTTTAGAACTACCTAGAAAAGTGATTTTAAAATACCACCCAGACCTCATTCCAAACCTTTCAGATCAATCAAATTTTTGGAAGTAGAGTTAAGAGCAAAAGTGGTTTTTAAAAACTCCCCAGATAGTTTCAGTGTGCCACCAGAGCTAGGAATCTAATGGAAGGTGGCAACCTTTTTAAAAAAAAACACCTTACTGATGGAACAAGTACAGGACCTGCAGGTGAAAGGGCTCAGTGGGAATCAAAGGAATCTGTCTTCTGAGGCTAGTGCTTGGGGGACAGCTACTCCACTGAGCTGATAGTGTAATCTGTTATGTGCCACTTTGTGTCTGAGTGAAGCAATATACAGTCAGGAGGGCTTGCTGGGTTCTGAGTTGAGTAAACTATTCTGGTGATATTTATTACTGTATATAACTTATATTGGCTGTCGTATTATAAAAATATGACCACAATCATGTATGAATTTTAACATTCATTAGACTCTTTTTTAATCATTTAGTTGCCTCTTGGTTTATATCTCCACTGTTGTCTGGTTTCATGTCTGGCGTGCTGTTTGTACTGATCAGAATGTTCATCTTAAAAAAGGTAAGTGAGGCTGTTTTTGTTTTTATTAAATTTTAGGACTAATTTTGGCTCACTATCAGTAGAAATTGATAGTGAGAAGGGGGTATGAGGGAGAATTGTATATTTTCATTGTTAAGGTACAGCACTCCAGAGTTAGTCTGACATTATCTTAAGTGGCCAGAATGAACCAAGGTCAAGTATCCAATGAATCCCCCAGAAAATAGCACCTCCAGTAGTGTTTTGGGGAATTTTGATTTAGTTCATTAGTTAATACTCCCAGGAATTGTGCTCAGACCTTAAAAAAGAAAGGTGATTATTTCCTGAATGTTAAGCAGAATAGAATGCGATATTAAGATTTTGAAATTGATTGTCATTAAAAACATCTGGAGATTTCCTAAAGATATTTTCATATTTTTTTAAAAATGGAGATATCAAGCTTGAAATACTGACTTAATTTGAGGGAAGGATACAAAAAAAGAAAATATGCCTACATGGTGTGCATTTTGTCTGAAAAATAAAATTAGAATTTAGATTAGTATTCTGGAGAGAAACTCAGTTGTCATTTTTTAATTTGACTGTCAAAGGGTTATTTCAATATGTTTCTTTTTTATATTTCATTTTTAAAATACACATGTAATGTTTATACTTATTTGTGGGGTACAGTTTGATAGATAGATCCAATATATAATGATCAAATAAGAAAAATTAGCATTTCCATATCCTCACATTTTATTATTTCTATGTATTGGGAACCTTCAAACTATTCTCCTCTAGTTATTTTGAAATGTATAAAATGAATTGATATAGACTATATTACCCTATTGTGCTATATAACATTAGAATTATATGTTAGTCAGCTGTCACTGTGACAAAGTACCTGAGATAAACAACTTATAGGGAGGAAAGGTTTATTTTGGCTCATGGTTTCAGAGGTTTGAGTCCATCGTCACTTGATCCTGTTGCTTTGGGCCCATGAAGACCCAGTGCATCATGSCAGGGAGCACAATGAATGAAACCTATTCACTCTATTGTGATTGGGGAAGCAAAAAGAGAGGAAGAATAAGGACCAGGATCCTAATATTCCATTTAGGGTCCTAATATACCCCCACTGACTTAAATTCTTCCTCTAGGCTCCACCTCCTGAAAGTTCCATCACCTCCCATTAGTGCCATGTGCTGGGGACCAAACACTTAGGCCTTTGGGAGCTATTCAGTATCCAAACTATAGCAAGCTACTTCCCCCATTGCACTATATTTTGGTACTCATTATCCACCATCTATCTGTATTCCTCCTTCCTACCTCCTTCCTGCCCTCTGGTGGCCTCCATTCTACTTTCTAATTTGGTTATTAACTCTTATAGCATCCACAAATGAATAAGAACTTACAATGTTTGTTTTTTTTTTTTTCTGTGCCTGGCTTATTTCACTTAACATAACATCCTTCAGTGCCATCCATGATAACCACAAATGACAGGATTTCATCTTTTTTATGGCTAGATATCTTCTATTTTGTGGAAGAGACACATTTTTTAAAAACTGCTCATCTCTTCTTGGACATCTTGGTTGAATCGTTACAATGTTTTTGTAAGCAATAAAGCACCTTTTTGTGTTGCACTGTAGTCTTCCTTTTTTTATAGTTTTGCTTTCTATTGTTTTAGCTACCCATGACCAACCATTGTCTGAAAATATTAATTGGAAAATTCCCAAAATAAATAATTCAGAAGCTTTACATTGCATGCCAATTTGAGTATTGTGATAAAATTTCCTACCACCCTGCTCCCATTTTAGCTAGGATGTGAATCATCCTTTTTCTAGTATATCCATTCTGTGTATATTACCTACCCACTAGTCATTTAGCCATTTCAATGATCAGTTCTATTGTGGCAGTATCATAATGCTTGTATTCAGGTAACTCTTAGGTAGAAACCTAATGCTATGTCACCATGCCTACATCATTCACCTCACKCCATCTCATTATGTAAGCATTATATTATCTCACATCATCACAAGATGAGTATAATAAATATTTTGAAAGAGCACATTCATATAAGTTTTCATTGCATTTTTGTGATTGTTTTATTTTATTAGTAGTTGTTATTGTTAATCTTACTTGCCTTATTTATAAGTTGAACTCTATTGCAGGTATGTATGTATAGGAAAAACAGTACATGGGGATTGGGTACTGCCCTCAGTTTCAGGCCTCTACAGGGGATCTTGGARCATATTCTATGGGGACCAGGGGGCACTCCCATAGCATACTCTTATGCTTGAGCCATTCCAGCACATCAAGGACATGCCTTTTTTCAGCTATATATTGTTTGAAAATACAGCTCTTATCTTTTAGCATTTTCTAGTRGTCTATTAAAGAGCTCATTCTCTTAAATAAGTACAAACTTGCCATCATCATTTCTCACCATTCCTTTTCCTGGGCTTGGAGCAGCTACTCTAATATTTGTTTACATCTTGGAAAGTGCTAGTCTGTCTTGCCTGCCAGCCTTCACCCTTTTTATTTCCTCTGCCTGGAATCCATCCTTGCCTGGCAAACTCCTACTCAACCTTCAGGTGACACTTCCTAGGAAGCCTCTCCTACACCAGCTTCTGGTTGGTTACCTCTTAGTCTTCTTCCCACAACACTAAATATGGATGAAATAGATGCTTGGTTGGCAGGGGTAGGGAGAGATGATGAGTAGATAGATGAAAGGGAGGGAGGGAGAGAGAAAGAGAAAGGGAAGAAATGAGACAGGTCTAATGAGACATTTGTCATTTGAATTTTAAGAGTAGGTTTTTGGAGCTGGGGCTATAGCTCAGTGGTAGAGTACTTGCCTAGCATGAGTGGGGCCCTCCGTTCCATCCCCAGCACTGAAAAAAATAGAGAGTAGGTTATTTGGGAAAATATGAAGTGATTCAGTTAAAAAACTCAGACTTGGGCTGGGGATGTGGCTCAAGCGGTAGCGTCTTCACCTGGCATGTGTGCGGCTCGGGTTCGATCCTCAGCACCACATACAAACAAAGATCTTGTCTCTGACGAAAACTAAAAAATAAATATTAAAAATTTTCTCTCTCTCTCTCTCTCTCTCTCTCTCTCTCAAAAAAAAAAAAAAAAACAAAACAAAACAAAACTCAGACTTGGGACTTTCCACCTGTCAAAGTTGTTGATCTATAGTCTTTCTATAGACAGCTATTGTTCCTAAGAAAATAATGCTTTGGAAACCAGATACAGTCAGCATCTGAGCACCCTAGTGTTTTGTGTTTGTGTTTAGTCCAATCTGCATTCTTTTCATGTGTCACCTCACAGGTTAGAATGCTGGCTGTCTCTCTCTCACCCCTTGTTCCAACCCATTTGTCTTAACATTCACTTCTCTTGCACCCATCCCTGCCTAAACTGGCTGTCGCGCTCTCCTGCAATTGCATCACTTTCTGCCTGCCCYTGCTCTTACATGCCTGAAGTCTCACTGCCAGTCAACACAAGCCTCTTGACAAGTGCTGAAGGCTACTTGAGCCATCCCAGAATAGGTCCTTGATGAGTTGTACTGTTTCTCAAACATCCTTGATTTCCATACGTGTTTGCATTTTGTAGTTGGCATCTCTAAGAGAGCCTCTATTTATTCATATCTTGATAGCTCATTTCAATTTTTAGACTTAACTTTCTTTTTATCTTGGTAGGTGGAATACTTATATAAATATGCAAGAACATCTTATGTGGTTATTAGAAATCAGTTTCTTTTTGAAATAATTAAGCAATACCTGTGTGCCAATGCTGTGTTGTGGAGTTCTTGGCCATATTATTGCTTCAAGATCCTCTGTAGATCTGCTTAAAACTAAATTTGTAGTAGTTTCTAAGATATGATTTAACCTCAAACATGTGTGATACCATTCTTGTTGATGTATTAAATTGARAGAATGTCATAACAGAAAGCTAAAGTTTTAAATAAATGTTTTATTAGATAAAGAGCCACAATTCTTTTTACTTTTGATAGTTGAAGGTTAAATATTATACCTTATGAAAATATTTTGAAAATTATAATATATGGAAAAGTACTGGWGTTATAAAGTCATGTAAAAATCTAATAGTAATACAATAATCCATAAGTCATTTGACTTAGAGAGGTGTTAGAGTCTCAAAATATTTATCAAATGTAGACTTTTAGGGGCAAAGCTCCATAGGTTTCAGAGAAGTAGTTGCTGAGCTCTGGGCTTTGGTTCCCCAGGCACTGACCTCCCCCAACAGTTCTTTTCTGTTTCTAAATCTGACATCAGCTCATGTGACTGTAGTGCTTTAATGTGTCTGCTGGCCACAATAGTGGGCTCTTTGAAAGTGCATTTGTGTAGAAGAGATGGCCCCAGCTGATGCCATTCCTGGAGATGTGCAGTGGAACACATGTAGTAACACACCAGCCTTTTTGGCCACAGTGGGGTTTGGGGTACTTTCTTGTAACAGTGTCTTGTGTCATTTTTCTGGTGTTGCCTCCAGAGGCTCTGCAGTCCTGACCTCCCACTTTATCTCATTATTCCACAGGAGGACCCTGTTCCCAATGGCCTCCGGGCACTTCCAGTGTTCTATGCTGCTACTATAGCAATAAATGTCTTTTCCATCATGTACACAGGAGCACCAGGTAAGAATTCTCTGGAAACTTAGATCCAGCCGTCAAGGTGCATTCTATTTCTAACAAATGTTGATTTATTTGGTGTTTGCATTATTGCTGGCTGACAGTGAAAAGCATTATTGATGGTCATTTTGGAGTAGTGAAAAGAGCAATGAATGCATTTACTGTTCTAAATACCTAAGGGATACATGAACTACAAAGGCAACAGGCTTTCCAGTTTAAATTTTTAAAAAGTAAATAAATAAATCCCCATTCTGCCATTTACCCAACTGTGGGTAAATGAAAGTTCAGAGCAGCTTACTGAACTTCTCTGAGTCTCAGAACCTGATCTGATAGCACATAACTACTGAGCAGTGAAGGGTCAGGGAAGGGAGGTGGAAATCCTAGTGCTACACAGGCGCGTGGTGAGTAGCAGCCACCCAGCCATCTACAGTGCAGTGGCAGAAGCAGTCCATAGATGCAGATGTGGAACAACCTGGAAATTGTCAGCTTAATTAGTCTAACCAACACAAGCCAATACTGAAACCAGTGATGATTTTCTCTTCAGAATTACTCTTTTTGGTTTGGGGTTTGAGGGAAGGGGACAGTTAAAGATTCTTTTCTTTTACATTCTGAATAGGAAAAGAAAGAAACTCATGTAGAATATTCTAATGTGCACACATTTCAATGTTGATGAATGGGTAATGTCCTATTAAATGTTTCTGTATATGCTGGGTGCAGTGATGTACTAGTAGTCCTAGTTACTTGGAAGACCGGGGCAAGAGGATCATTTGAGCCCATGCATTCTAGGCCACCCTGGGCAATGCAGCGAGACCCCCAAGACCCCRACTGGGGTAAGAAAGAAAAAAATCTCTGTACATATTTGGTAAAGAGAATTCACCCTCTATTTCTTTTTATGAGATGTGTCTCAAACAACCAGATTCTGAATACACACAATTTTGTGGGGATATATGAAGTCAATATATATGTGAATTTACATCATATTTCATCTTATTAATGTCATGGATATGATTTAGTTTTTGGCTACATCTGACAGAAAAGTCTCCTCTCCTCAGAAGACAAAATTTCTGTGCTATAACTGAAAAGTGCCATCTTCCAAAATGAGGGGAATGCCTCACAAATTTCTCAAATTAGGTTTTCTTGATGTAATTTTCCCTGATTTTATTTTATGAAATTATATTTTGTTTACTTCAGTACTGAAAAATTTTCAAAAATTGTTTTTAAATGATTCTTAACATTTTATAACCTTTTACTTTGCCATCTCTGTCGCATTCAAAAACATTGATCTTAAAGATTTGATACTTAACATTATTGAGACTTCCAGACTCTGGGTGACTTCAGCAAGGGAGAGGGAGGCATCATAGCTGCTTTAAGTTATACCAAAAGCACAAAGCTGAAGATGAGAGTAAGGACACAGATGAAATCCTCACCTCAATCACAGCAGCCTGGTGTCTCTTCAGGTGTTATCATTCATGGACTATGAACACTCTTTGCCACAGATTTCCAAAGTGTCCCATGATTAAATTAAAAGAAAATCAGAGGCAGAGAAAAGGCAGTTCCATATGCTGGAGTTAAACCCTTCTACCAAGTGTGTGCTTTCTAGGTGCCTGGAAGGCTCAGGAATGCCATGCTGGAAGTAACATGTGGCAAAGAGACATCTTTGTAATCTTGCCCATGAGTCCTTGGTCTTAATTTCATGAAGGCTCTTAGAACTCGAATAGCTGAACAAAAAGCAAAGCAGCTCTCTGTGCATGGGGCACAGAGAGCCCATGTGTGTGGGGGTTCCCAACAGACACACRAAAAAGAGAGAGAAAGGAGAGAGACTGAGCTAATGAAAGTTGAGGATGCCTTTTGTAACACCAAGTCCTGGAAGTGAGAATTGGTATAAATAAGATAATTTCATTTTGTTTCTGCATTTTTTTCACTCTCTATTGTTGCTTCCTGTTTTTTTCCAAATGTCAGAATATAAATGTGTGATTCCTTCTAAATTTTGACTTAATATATACTTTATATATACTGTCTTTAAAATTTTTCTTATTTTCCCCTACTTTTTTACATTTTTATTTGTACATTTGCTAAAAGAAACATCTTACTGAGAGAGTAAACTGATCTATGGAAAATTAAACTATATGATGGATGAGACACAAAGGACAATACACATACTTCACAAGGTTATTGTGAGAAAGATAACATAAATGCATTGAGTTGAGTTTTACATGAATTAATCCTTCCAGTCCTCTCAGCTCCTCTAGAGGATTGTTGATGTTGCCAACCCCACTTGTGCTGGGAGAGAGGCACAGCAATGCTGCATTCGCTAGATCATATAACTAGTAAGATGCAGACCAGAATTTGAACGAGACTAGTCCTGAACCCTATGGTCTTTGTTGTGACATTATGCCGATACATGAGATAGCTGAAGGAAAGTACTTATAAGTATGTATAGCGTTACTGAAAATGACAATAAAAATTGCATCAACCTWAGCAAATTCTTCCTCTTAACTCTCTTGAAAACATGCCTTCCAATATATTTAAGGACCTGGTTATAAATTTTTTATACACTTTATATACCCGTTATTGTGAAGAAGGTTGCTACCTCCTTAATTAGAAATATTTAAAAAATCTAAAAATGATTTGAAGATTATCATTCAATTGAAATACAGACAATATCCCCAGTCGTAAAGTTCCTGGTACATGTATGGGATAGGCAGCTGTTCTATAAGGAACRTAACATCTCAACTCCCTAAGTCCCATTCCTTATTGTAAAGTAGGGATAGTAGTAGTAGCTCCATTAAAGGGACACTGAGGTTCCTGAGATAATGTGGGCAGGGCATGTAGCATGGCACCTAATGCATCACTCACTTTTAATCATGTTAGAGACTCTTTTATTACCATCAGTCATTATTAGCCTCATTTTCTCAGTTGTTAACAGCAAATAGTCATCCTATTTTTCTATTTTTCCTGAATATATTTGTGGAACATTTTACCTGAAGTTTTCCAGGGTTGCTGGGTGGAGGGGATGTTACCTGGAGGAGAAAGGAGAAGTTTATGACCCTGAAGGACCAATCATTTTGTTCCTCCATTAAGTCATAAAAGAACTTTGCTAATATTTTGGTCCCTGGGGAATGTTCCTAGAATATCCAATAGGTAGGCCAAATCTTATTTTTATTTAATCACTGAAGGTTATTATTTACCCTTCAAACTAGACTTTAATTACATACTCCTTCCTCATTTGTGGTATCTCAACTTGTCCAGCTGTATCATAAGTAGCCATGACGACATATTTGGTAGTAAGCTTGAGCTGAGAGTCATTTTAACAGTAACTGAGTTGATCCATTCCTCTCAACATACATCTGCCCTTCTAGAATTTATTCCTCTTGGTTCTCTTTCTTTCTTAGAACAGTTTCACATAATACACAGAAGCATCAGAGATAAAAGAATGAAATTCTCCAAGAAAAATGAGTGACCGCATTAATCTTACCCAGTTTTACCATTAAGAGATTTTGAAAAATAGCATTTGTATTCATGGAGATGAATCAAATGGGGATTTGTTGGATGTTGAGTTATAGTGTTTTGTTTTGATTTCCTCTGTTCCTCCACTCTAAATTATTAAGTTGTTTATATCTTCGGCTTACTTTGATTTGTTTTACTTTGCATCTGACATGACTTATCTCAAATAAAAGTCATTCTTACACTTCAGAGACTGAGTGTATACTTTTAAAAAATTGCCTTTGCATTTTTGTTCTTTAAAAAAATGATTAGGAAGAACCAAAAATAACTTTAGGAAATGAAGTGCTTACTTGGATTGGATTCAAGCATGACGTTTGTTTTTAATTGAAAAAAGTCTTTAGTTGTGTGGCACCTGGTTTTTGTTCAATGTTTAGACAGTTCATGCTGAAATTCATTGCATGCCTCTTTGAGTAAAGATAAAGCAGATCACCTCATTAAGCCCTGGTAGTTACATATGACTTCTAAGTCGAAGTGAGGTTCCTGGACCAGCCACATCAGCAGTACTTGGTGACATGTCAGAACTACTCTGGCCCAGCCCTGATACAGAACTGCAAGTACTTCAGCCCAACAACACATGTTTCAGCAGGGAGCCCTCCAGTGATTCTGATGCATTTACAGTTGGAGAACCACAGCACTAATTACCTCTTGGACCACGAACAGTGCTACCTTATTATAGTTCTTAGATAATGAGGGTTCTTTAAAGTTCTAAACAGCAATCTTCCCTTACCCTCCTTTTTATCAGCAAATGAATTCTCAAAAATAACCAAGCCTGGTTTCTGGCTTCCCCAGAGCAAGCCTATACCTGAGGTGTGGCTGCCTCTGCCACTGCCCCTCCTTCCATTTCCTCTTCCATCTCCATCCCCTTCTTTCTCCTTTTTCTCCTCTATCCCTTCCTCCTTTTTTTCTTTTTCTTCCTCTTCTCCACTGCCATCTCCTTTGCTTCTTTCTCCCCTCCTCCTCTTCCTTCTGGTCTAGTCCCAAGGAAATCAGAATATCAACAACCCCTGAGGCCCCTAGTTGTCTTTGTAAGAAGGAGCTTTGTTCTCCTTGGGTCTCTGTATTCCAAGTTGTGATTGTAAAGTGCAAACTGTGGAGAGGAAGGAATTGTAACTGTAGTAATTCCTAGTCCTGGTTCGGGAAAGCACTAGAGTGAGAAAAGTTTCCAGTTACCACCAAGGGATGGATTCAAAAGTTAAGGATTTAAATTCACTTCCTTTCGAGAATTATTACAAATGACCCCTGGTTTGAGAAAGCTGGTACCATATTTTAAAATCCCAACAATAGAGCAAATTAGGAAATAGTATGTTTTATTTCAAAAGTGTGCTTAATTGTCTTTAAAAAGTTGTTCTAGGGGGCTAGGGTTGTAGCTCAGTGGTAGAGTGCTTGCCTTGCATGTGTGAGGCCCTGGGTTCAATCCTCAGCTCCACATTAAAAATAAATAAATAAAAATAAAGATATTATCTACATTTACAGCTAAAAAATGTTTTAAAAAGTTGTTCTAGGATTCTTTTTACAAAGGTACCTCCTGTAGTGCTTTGAAATGTTGATTAAAAACAAAACAAAACTGGTAACTTCAGTTTATCAGGAAAGGCAGGATAAGAAAGAGTGATAGTGCAAAGCAGGTCAGCCTGTGTTTATGCATACCTGTGTGTGTGTGTGTGTGTGTGTGTGCGTGTGTTCCTGTGGAAAGATGGCCACAACATAGAACCATCTAGGAAATGAAAGCATAGAATAGTATATATTGAGTAATCCTGTTACTTTTAAATTTTTTAAAGAAATGAAAAAAGAAATCCTCACGAACACAGTAGAATGTGTTTATATGTATCTAGAAAATGCCTGAAAAGACATGTACCAAATAGTCCCCACTTTCTGTAGGAAGAAATGGAGGCAAAGGGGAGGGTAATAGGGGAATTTCATACTGTACATCATACAATTTGGTAGACACTGAGGATATTTTGTATTAAGCATGTATTATATAAAAGTTAAAAGCAAAGGCAAAATCTGTGCAGTTAATAAGAAGGAAGGCTGTAAGGAAAAGATAGTAAGGTGGGATAGAAGGGGACTGATATGAACTGCAGCCTTTTGGTTTCATATGATTTTGTTATTTTATAGATTCTTTATTTTTTTTTAATATTTATTTTTTAGTTCTCGGCGGACACAACATCTTTGTTGGTATGTGGTGCTGAGGATCGAACCCGGGCCGCACGCATGCCAGGCGAGCGCGCTACCGCTTGAGCCACATCCCCAGCCCTATTTTATAGATTCTTTGATGATTCTGTATGTGAAAAACAGGAGGGATAGCAGAGGAATAACAATGGAGAGGGAGTTTTTATAAAATGTTCTACTTCTTCCCTAAATGATTTGAATCTTCTGATCTTTTGTGGATTTGGATTGGAATTGTAAAGATGCTTGAGGTTAGAGCTAAATCACTATTCGTCATATCTTTTTTGTTCAGAAAATGAGAGGCACTGGAGATGAAAGGCCATTTAGTGGCTGAAGTGGAGAACAGAGATTCAAAGCTCCCAGCTCTGGCTCCTGGCAGCCACTTTTGGCTGAGCAAACACGAGCAATTCAAGCTGTGCCCTACTTTGTCTATCCGCAGAGGAAATCAACGTGCCATGCCTCGTTGCCCTCTGAAGGTGTAATTATTTGGAAACAATATGAGACCCTCACCAGGAAGACAATCCAATACAGAGTGTTTTTGTTGCAGATTTTGTAGTGTATAACTTAACCTTAAGTAGTTAGAAGAGAAAAAGTTTTGCCTTGGGTGTACATTGATTCGGGTGTTTTTCTATAATGAACTTTTATGCAGAATTGTTTTTTTTTTATTTTTTTATATTTTTTTAGTTGTTGATAGATCTTTATTTTTATTTATTTATATGTGGTGCTGAGAATCAAACCCAGTGCCTCTCACATGCCAGGAAAGTGCGTTACCACTGAGCCACAGCCCCAGCCTCCTATTTTTTTAATAATCCATGAAACTCAATTTTATATGTTTAGTGTAGAGTGCGGATGTGTAACATAAATAGCTATCAGCTTACATTTCTTACATGCAGGCTTTAAGAGTAATGGCTTGTTTCTTTCAATCCTCTCTTAAATTGCYAAATTCTCGGAACAATTTGGTAATATCTCCATCCCCATTTGGTTCCTTTCTCCTTTCTTACTGTGAACAATTTTTCCCCTGTTTTCTTGGATTTGTTTACTTTGTCTCCCCACTTCTCCCACACTCAGATAGACTATGTCTATACCCTGCTTTCCATTCTAGATTTTCATGACCAGGAGGGTAACCTCAGAACTTTCTGGCCCAGGTCAAATGGATAGCAAGGCAGATGTAATGATACAGAGGTACAAACTCAAGTGATACAGTGTCTTAGTGTTYAAGCAAAGGATCAAAGTCTTGAAATTGACCTCAGTTTCCCCTTTGGGCCYTGTCACCATTTAGGACCTCACATGTCCCTAATGGGAAGTGTAGAGATGGGCTTGAAGAATCACAGGAAGCAGCCTTCTCTACTTTGGGGAGATAAGTAGAGAATAAAAAAAAAAAAATAGGGCCTGATAGCAAAAGTGTTCAATCACCAAAAAAAATCAAGTAACTCAAATTGTTAGTCTCTCCCCCACAATATGTATGATTTCCCTCTCTTAGACCAGGCTAAGGCARTGAAGCCAAAAGTAACACACTTAACAGTTTTATCCTCAACTAWACCACAGAAGGGAAAACCTCTTCCAAATCCAAATGCTTTGAAGCTGTAAGAATGTAGGTTTGCTGTTAGTTTATCAGTTTGACTTTGGTAAATGAACAGTTACCGCTCACTTGGGCAAGAAATAGCTGTGGAGTGATCCTTTGTTACAGTGTGAAGACAGTGACTTGCAGATATAAAATAGAAGCCAGGAAGCCATGGCCAGAAATAGAGCCCAGTGGAGTCAGCTCCTGTGGTTTTATGAGCAGCCCTGGGCTTCAGGTTCACTGGCAGAGCTGGAGTGGAACCAGCTGCCACTTAAAACAGTGCAGCCTGAGGATGGTGCTGAGTCCATAGCTGTCTGATGTCACCTGGAGTTTTAGAATGGAGTAGTCTAAGCGCCAACATTTCTACCAGTGGCACTCTAGCTGTAAAAAGACTAGGTAACTCTGTTGTTTTTCTAAAATATTTGTACACATTAATATAACTTCCCCCTGATATTATTGGCTACCCATTCTGTAACCTCTTACAGTTATCAAAATATTTAATAATGATTAAGCAGCATGGGGCTGGTTTATTTATATAAAATAGTGAACAAGGTAACAAAGCCTGCATCATTAAAAAAAAATTTACTTATTTAAGAGCTAAGTTTTAAATAGGTCATTAATTTAAAATGTTCTAAAAACTACAAAGTGACATTCTTATTGTGGATTTTGGAAGTTGCCAGTATAAAAGTACATGTATCAAGAAGTTAAAGCCCCACACCAATTTCCCATTTCTCCATAGAAGAAACCATTGCATCTTTCCAGAACTTTTTCTGTGTGTTAGCATATATGTCAGGAGTTAGGAATTGGGTTTTTTTTCTGTTTTAAACATAAAATGAGTCACAACTGCGCATATATTATATAGCTGACTTCTATCACCTGGGCCTCTTTCCTTGTCAGTGTACCTCAGCCTGCCTTATTTTTATGACTGTGTACTGTGATTATTTTACATTTCCATGATGATGCATATATTAACTAATGCAAATTCTTACCATTACAAGTAAAACTATAGTAGGTCTATATATATGTGTGTGTGTGTTCATGGGTGAGCATGCTTAAGTTGTATACTTCATGAATGTGTCTGAGAGAAAATGGACAAAATCAGAGTGATGAGCTCTGAACACAAAACAGCACTGTGGAAAGATGACGTTCCTAAACCACATTCACTTCCTCCCTTTTACTGATTAATATAATTACTGCTCAAAGTGCATTGCAAGACTTCAATGGAAAGTTTTCCTGTTATAATTCCATAGTTACGCTTGAAAGTCAATRTCCTTTGAACAACTTTTATTTCTAAGCTGATTTGTTAAAAAGGGTCATATATGTAGTCAGAGTGCCATGTGCATTAAAGCAGGGCTGCTGACTAATAAAGAACCAAAAAGGTAGCAACCCCAGAGCCGTGCAGCATCCACATTTCAGCTTCTTCCCGCTGGTGGAAATGGGCTGCCCGTCAGGATGGAAGGCAGCTGACTCCTTCTTAGTCACATTTATCCACCCAGAAATTTAGATAGTGACATAACATGCAATTAATGGCTTTATTCCCAACTTAATATGCTGATTGTGCCAAATTGGTGATATTTTAGTAATCAATTTAATGACAGGTTAAAGTACATATTTACAAAGTATAGTGTCTTAAAAATATGGCTTTCTATGCCTAAGAATACAGTATGTTTGGTTTGGTTTGGTTGAGAATTTTATTAAATACACAGTCCAATTGATTCATTTAAGATTGAGAGAATGGAAAACACAATGACAGATGAGATTTGACCAATGACAACATTGCTGTTCATTTTTATTTCCCAGTGCTAGGTCTGGTTCTTCCCATCTGGGCAATAGCACTCATTTCCTTTGGTGTTGCTCTACTCTTCGCTCTTTTTGTATGGCTCTTTGTGTGTCCATGGATGCGGAGGAAAATAGCAGGTAAGCACGTTTTTATTTCTTTGGAATTCCTAAAATTTCTCCCAATTCCTGTGACTTCCCATTTAACAAACAAGTATCCTCACAAATGGAGGAAATGGAAGTACARTTAACTCCAGAACATACATTGGGATACAAGCCCAGTCTCRTGTCTCTTGGCTCCTAATTTCTGGCTTAAACTTTTTCTTAGTAACTTGTGACTCAGGTGAGCAGGGCTCTCATTGCCATCAGTAACAGGAAATTAACTATGCAGCCAAGTTCTACCAGCCTGATGAAAATCAATACCCTTCAGGGAGATGCAAATTAATAACACAGGAGATATTACTTCCAACCCATAAGAATAAGTAAAAATTTGAAACAAACAAGTAATTCCAAGTGTTGGTGAGGAAATGAAATAACTGCAATTCTCATATGCTTATGGTGAAATGTAAACTAATTCAACCACTTTGAAAATTAGCTTAGCAGTTGTTTTATAAAGGTAACCATATACTTACCATATGACACAGAAGTTTCACTCCTAAGTAGTTATCCAAGAGAAATAAAGATGTAAGTTCATAAAAAGACATACTACATCTACATACAAATCTTTTAGTCATAATAGCACCAAAATGGAAACAATCCAGTGTTCACCAGCAGGTAAGTGGTGTACATATTTGTATAATAGAAAACTACTTAGCAATAAGGAGAATTGAACACCATATAAGGAATTTCATAGATGTTATATTGAACAAAAGAAGCCAGATACAAAAGAATGCATATGCCATATGACTCCATGTTTCATAAACTCTAAGTTTACCTTAAGAAATTTTATGGATGTTTCCTTAAAATTCAAGTATAGTAAAAACTAAGTGAAAATGAAGAAATCACCAGTTGCCTGGGAGTTTGGAAATGATTTAAAGGGACACAAAGGAACTTTTCAGGAACATGGGAATATTTATTCATGTTTTAATTGGGAAATGGTCATAGGATATGCTGATTTGTTACAGATTATCCACCATTTAAAATATCTGGATTTTGCTAGTGCATTGGCACATACCTGTAATCCTAGTGACTGGAGAGACTGAGGCAGGAGGATTGCAAGTTCAAAGCCAGTCTCAGCAACTTAATGAGGCCCTAAACAATGTAGTGAAACCTGTCTCAAAAAGGGCTGGGGATGTGGCTCAGTGGATAAAGGCCCCTGGGTTCAATCCTTGGTCCCCAAAATAGTTAATTAGATAGATAGTCAATCTGGATTTTATCATATGTAAATTATACCTCAAAAAAAAAAAAACAATTCTAATCTGGGCATAGTTATCCCAGAGACTCTGGAGACTGAGGCAGGAAGATCACAAGTTCGAGGCCAGCCTTAGCAACTTAGTGAGGCCCTAAGCAATTTAGCAAGACCCTGCCTCAAAATAAAAAGTAAAAAAAAGCAAGAGATACAGCTCAGTATAAAAACACCACAGGGTTCATCCCCAGTCAAAAAACAAAAAACTAAAAGAAGAACTACCTAAACTATGGTTAGGCTGGTTATGTGACTCAATGGTTGGGTTTGGTCCCCAGCACCACAAACGAAGGAAGGAAGGAAGGAGATAAAATATGCCTAGAAAATCAGTCAGGGTATTTTGCTATTATTACCAGCAACATAGTTGAATTTCAAACCTTGAAGCCACATGCTTTTATGGGGCTCACAAAAAGAGAGAGAAATATTTAAATTTGTTCCTAGAATGTTCCTTACAGTCATGTTTCAATATGGGCATATCTGAATTCGAAAATCCATGTTTCAAAAAAAATTAGATAATATGCAAGAGTCAGTACAGCAAAGATGTTGGTTCTTCTCAGATTGATCTACAGACTGAAATAATTAAAATAAAAATCCCAGGAGGATGTTTTGTTGATCTAGACAAGCTACTTTTAATATTTATATATAAGTTCAAAGAAACTAGAATAGCCAAAATAATTTCTGAAAAATTAGAATAAAGTTGGAGGATTCCTACTAACTGACTATAGGACTTATTGTCCTGTAGTCCCGTAGGACTGTAGGAGCTCAGTGGTGAGCTACACCCCATTACTGGAAAGAAACGAAAAGAAGAAAAAAAAGACTTACTGTAAAGCTACATGACAGTGTGATTTATGAAGAGGTGGACATGTAAATTAATGGAACAGAATACAATACAGAAATAGACCCACACAAATTTGGCAAATGAGTTCTTCACAAAGATTCAAAGGAAAAATACGCCTAGAAAATCAGTCAGGGAGAAGGGATAATCTTTTCAACAAATGGTATTGGAACTATCAAATATCCATATGCCAAAATAAGAACTTTACCCTAAATCTTAAACCTTAAGGGCTGGGGATGTGGTTCAAGCGGTAGCATGCTCGCCTGGCATGCACGGGGCGCTGGGTTCAATCCTCAGCACCACATAAAAATAAAATAAAGATGTGTCCACCAAAAACTAAAAAATAAATATTAAAACATTCTCTCTCTCTCTCTCTCTCTCTCTCTCTCTCTCTCAAAAAAAAATTAACTCAAAAAGCACTGTATATATAAATGGAAAATTAAAAAACAAGACTTTGGGGGGAGAAAAACAGAAGGAAAAACTTTTGTGATATTGGGTTAAGCAAGGGTTAACATATGACCCCTAAAACATGATCCATGTAAGAAGAAATTGATAAATTACACTTTACCAAGATGAGAAACTATTGTTTTCTTAGAAGTACTATTAAGAGAAGTTTCTTGTATTCATAATATATAAAGAAATTTCAGAAAACAAATAACCCAGTTAAAACAGCTAAATATTTGAGTARGCACTTCACCAGAGAAGAGAGATGAATTGCAAATAAGCCCCTGACAAGGTGTTCAGCATCACTAACCATCAGGGAAATGAAATAACCATGAGATATCACTACACTCCTATTTGAATGGCATTAAAAAAAAAAAACCTGACAATGCTAAACACTGATGAGGAAGAAGAACAGCTGGAACTCTCATATATTCATGGTGGGAATGTAAAATGGCACAGGAAGACAATTGGGCAGTGTTTTTACAAAGTTAAAAATATATTTACCATAAATACCACTCCTGAGTAATTCCCCAGAGAAATGAAAACTTAAGTTCACACAAAAAAACTGTTCACAGCACCTTTATTTATATCACCAAAAGCTGGAAACAATCCAGAATATCCACAAAATGAATTAATAAATCTTGGTGCCCCCACACATTGGAATCCTACTTTCAACATTTGAAAGGAATAAACTGTCAATTTATGGGTGAATCAAAAGGCATTATGCTGAGTTAAAAGGAGCCAGTCTCAAAAAATGACATGTCATGATTTTATTTAGATGACTTTCTGAAGAAAGCAAAAGTGTCAGGTCAGAGACCAGATCACTGGTTGTCATTGTTACGATGGGGCAGAGGGTCTGATTACAGAGTTTTGGGGGACAGTGGAACTTTCCATGTTCTGGTAATCACCACTACATACACAGTTCTATGTTTGTTTTAAAAGTCAGATTTATACAGACACATAATCAGATTAGTGCATGTAAATTTAAAAACTAATAATTTTTAAAATTCACATTAATGCATGCAACATCAAACTAATTAGTGAAACCATATCACTAATTAATTAAAACCCAGCTTCTTATTCCCATGGAGCTGCTTCCTGCCCTGTCCTATCGTGAGAATAAACATTCCCTTCTGCATTCACACAGACAACTATCCTGAGATGAGCCATTCTTACTCATGCTATTTGCCTGGTTTAATCTGTTGGAGTCATGAAATGTACATAAATGCTTTGATTTTTAAATACTTTTCCTGATAACTAAACCTTAATGTCAAGACCTTAAAATCTTTGCTTTCCAGGTTTGGGCTGTAATGTCACAATAGGAAATTGATACTATTCCCATGCTAGCTTTCTCCAAGGTTTTTATTTAATCAAATTTGTATATTTTGAGATTTCAGTACTTCAAAAAATATTCAGTATTTCAAAAAAAATATTCTTTTTATGTGTGTATTTTAAGTACAGATTAGTGATTAAGGGCATGGACCAGGACCACAAAGCTACTGACTGAATTTAAATCTTAGGACAAAGGGAAAAGGGAAGGGAGGGGGCATAGGGGTAGGAAAGATGGTGGAATGCAATGGTCATCATTACCCTAAGTACCTGTGAGAAGACAAGAAGGATGTGACTCTACTTTGTGTACAACCAGAGATATGAAAAATTGTGCTCTAAATGTGTAATATGAATTTTAATGCATTCTGTTGTCATATATAACAAATGAAAATCAAAATAAATAAATAAATGTTAAATTTAAATGCCACTTACTATCTGTGTGAGCTGGCTGAGGCCAATGATTTAACCTCTCTGTGCCTCAGTTTGCTCACTAGCAAAATGAGAAAAAATAATAATACCTGTCATATAAATGTTAATTTTTGTTATAATATTTACAAATGTTATCTTTCATCTAGATTATAAACAACTTAAAATGAGCAATCTTTATGTACTTTTTTTTTTCTTTTTGCAGTGCTAGGGATAAAATCCAGAGCTTCAATATGACCCTGAGTCGCACCTGCAGTCCTATGTATATTTTATATTTTTACATATGTGTTCCCTGTAAGACATAACAAATTTAATTTAAAAAAATCAATCTCTATAATCTGAYTGTCTAGGTAGAGAGAAAGATAGATGATAGAGACAGATATGTGTAAGGGTGTCCAGAAGAGGAACTGAAAGTTCATTTTCATTTCATTTATGTAGGTGAGAGCTTAGCAATTTGCTCAAGATAATTATTAGCAGCACCATTTATCAGATTTGATTAAAATAATACTTTTGAGCTTTAAAACAACTTCTTAAAATTTCATAGTTTATTTTTTGTTTCGTTTTATGTCGTCCAGGCTGGCCGCAAACCCCTGGACCCAAGCCATGCTCCTGCCTCAGCCTCCTGAGTAGCTGAGACTATAGGCATAGGCCACCACCCCCCTTCTTTCTTTTTAAAGTGAAGGATTTTTTTTTTTTAAGTAAGTAGGATCTTCCTATTCCTTTGAAGGAAAAATATTTTCTTGTTTCATAAAATTTGGTATGATAAAGAAATCTGAAACCAATAATTCATAGACCAGAAGAAAATAAAAAATGCTAGAACAATATCTGTGAAGACAGAAAGGATAAACTGGAAAATTTCAGCGATTCTGAGGTTAGTTTAAGGAAATAGGAGGCCAGTCTAGATGATTGTGGATTTACAGAACATTGTCCCTGGGAGAGCTCTGGGTGATCAAATTTAACCCTCTCTTTTTTGTGGTTTTTAGATGTAGTAACTCAGGCCCTAAATACTCATCTTTTTCCTTAGTAGGTAAATTTCCTGGCTAGAGTTTTACAGATAATTAAGCTTTTTACTTTATTTTCTCAGGCTAGCTGTACCTTATTTTCTCCCAAAGTAAGTGCTAACACATAGAGATATATTCACATTTTAATATTCACTTTTCAGTAACAGAATTCTCTTCCGAAAGTTGTAGTTATGATTCTATTTTCTCTAGGAAAATTACAGAAAGAGGGTGCTTTATCACGAGTATCTGAGGAAAGTCTCAATAAAGTCCAAGAAGCGGAGTCCCCTGTCTTCAAAGAGCTCCCAGGTGTCAAGGCAAATGATGACAGCACCGTCCCTCTAACAGGATCATCTGGGGAAGCATCAGGGGCCTCAGAAGGCACATCGTCTGGGAACCACCCACGCGCCTCCTATGGTAAGACTCGCCTGCAGAACTTGGGGTTACCAGAGGTGCTAAGGCATTTCTTAGATGACCAGCCAGGCCTGCGTGGAGATCCAAAAGTTTTCCCCAATGTCATGAGTTTCAGTGTTGGTGCTAGAGTTGAACCCAAGGCTCCTCATGTACTAAGCCTGCACTTTACCCCTGTGCTACATCTCTAGTCCCTCAATTCTATGTTTTGAGAAAACCCAGAAGCTAAAGAGACCTCAGGAAGCCATTCCAGGCACCAGAGCAGGCTCTCTCCTGTCCTGTGATTTTCTTCCCAGAGCTATTTATTCTTTTCTGAGGTGCCAAGGGCCCACTGCAGCCAGTGGCCGTGCTGCACTCACTCAGCTTACCTGCGCAAAGCTTCCCCCAATGCTGAAGACTGGTTCACTCGGCTACTTCCTCGGGGAAGACAAGAAGTGAAGGATAAGGTTGGAACCCATGGACATGGTCCTACCTAGAATCACAGAAACCTTAGAAACCACCCAGACTACCTGGGGTAACCTTTAGCCTTATAACCTGATGGACAGTGACTGCTCAAGACTGTCCAGCCACTTCCCCTCCTGCAAGGTGGGCCCCCAGCACCTGCTTTCCATAGGTTTATTCTCAGGCACAGCTCAGAGAAAACAAATTGGTTTTGGTTTTTGTATGTGCCTCCTGCATGGTGAACATATGCTTTACCTCTGAGCTATATTCCTAGTCCTCTAAAGGTGGAAAATTAATTTTGTCCTGCTGATCTGACACATACTGCCTCCCACTGTTAAGAAGCACATAGTACACTACCTATCTAATGTGAACTGCATTTTGCCTCATATAATTAAGGTGTTTTTTTTCCTTTTTTTTTTTCTTTTTTTTTCCTGTAGTACAGAGGTACTGAGGATTGGCCCAGGGGTACTTTACCCCTGAGCTATATCCCCAGATCTTTTTTTTCTTTCTTTTTAGACAGGGTCTTAGTAAGCTGCTGAGGCTGGCCTCAAACTTGTGACCCTCCTGCCTCAGCCTCCCTAGTCACTGGGATTATAAGTGTGCATCACCATACCCAGCGTCATGTATGAAGTTCTTCTAAAATTTCATATTAGATTTCTTCCTTTATAGATAGCTAGAAGTAGAAAAGAGTGCTGTATTTCTGGAAGATACTTTTTAAAAGAATTTAGCATTTTGACATACTATGTTGTTAGTTCTGCCCTTTTGTTATATGCTTCCAAGTTTGTTTATATTTTTAATTTTAACCCTACTGTACTTTATAGTTAGAAAATGAAGCAGACAGAAAAGAATTAAAATTTTGTATAATACAACCTTCCAGGACCAATGCCAGGAAATGGTAGGGAATATTTCTTTGCAGACATGGTTTATATTCAAGATGCTAAAAAATAAAACATTTTGTTTGATTGGTGCCAGGGATGGAACCCAGAGCCTTTGCATATTAAGTGTGCTCTCTTACCACCGAACTACACCTCTATTCTTAAATAAAACTTTGTAAAATCCTTTTCAGGAAGGGCCCTTTCCATGACTCATGGTTCTATAAAATCACCGATCTCCAATGGCACATTTGGCTTTGATGGCCACACGAGGAGTGACGGACATGTGTATCACACTGTACACAAAGACTCGGGGCTCTACAAAGACTTGCTGCACAAAATTCACATAGACAGGGGCCCTGAGGAGAAGCCCRCCCAGGAAAACAACTACAGGTTCCTGCGACGAAACAACAGTTACACATGCTACACCGCAGCCATTTGTGGGATGCCAGTTCACTCCACTTTCAAAGCTACTGACTCGTCCTCTGCCCCAGAAGATAGTGAGAAGCTGGTGGGTGACACTGTGTCCTATTCTAAAAAGAGACTTCGCTATGACAGCTACTCCAGCTATTGCAATGCAGTTGCAGAAGCTGAGATCGAGGCAGAGGAGGGTGGTGTGGAAATGAAACTAGCATCTGAGCTGACAGATCCTGGCCAGCCTCGAGAGGATCCTGCAGAAGAAGAAAAGGAAGAGAAGGACACTGCTGAGGTCCATCTCCTGTTCCATTTTCTGCAAGTCCTCACTGCCTGTTTTGGGTCCTTTGCTCATGGTGGCAATGATGTGAGGTAAGTGAAATGTTCATTTGTTTAATGAGTCTGTATTGAGGGTCTCTTGGGTTCCAGAATATAGCAGTAGACGACACAGACAAAAATCCCTCCTACTGGGGGATAATAAACACAGGAGTGACATGCATAGTGCGCTAGATAGTGACGAAGGTTCAAAGAACAATCAAATAGAAAGGGGGAGCTGGTGGGGGGCTGCAGTGATAGGTAAGTGTGCAGGGAAGAGCRTGTTGAGCCAGGTCTGAAGGAGGTGAGGGAGCCAGCCAGGTGAATGTCGTGGGAAGAGGGAACAACAGGTGTAAAGGCCAAAGACAGAGAGTACTTGGGATACTCTAGGAAGAGCAAGAGCTTTGAGAGAGGAGAGAGTGGAGACTGTATAGTCAGCAAGTCAGTCAGACCTGAAATATGTAGGGCCCCAAAGCACAGAAAAGAATTTCTATCTTTGGGGTGCAGGTCCCAGTAGTGGGACCTGCAGTCCCAGCAACTCAGGAGACTGAGGCAGGCAGATAGCATTGAAACAGGGCTTGGTAGGTTTAACAGGAGTTTTCAAAGCAGAAAATGGGCACAGGCATTTACTTGGAGGGAATGTTATATATTTAGGCCCTCTTGCCTCGATTTTTCTCCCCTGTAAAATAGAAAAACCAGCTCCCAGAATCCAGTGGCAATAACATGTCCGTCTTAGTTATTCCCAGTGACAACTGTGGTGTTGGTGTTAGCACATGCAAAGGCATGGCGGATGTCACACAGGCTAGAGTCTGTGATGAGAGCCAGGTTGTACTCAGGAACTGCTGGCTTGTGGTCACACTGGAGCAGCAGCAGCAGCCAGTGTCTGTGGCTCCAGAATCCCAGCGGGAGGCATTTAGGTGGGATTGTGCAGAGCCCTGGAGGCTGCCCAGAAGGGCTGCTGGGGGGGAGGATCACTGGTGCAGCAACAGTCCCCAGGAGTCCTTCCAGATTGGACTCTGGGTGGAAGGACAGTTGGACTACAAAGTCTGGGATAAATTGAGTAACTGAGCACTTTTCCTTCGTGGCTTCTTGTGAGGAGGGTCAGCACCACCTGAGGTCTCTGTAGTCWTCCCCACTCCACATTTGCAGACTACATAGCTACCTGGTGTAGCTTTAAGTTATGCCTTTCAGTGTGATTATGTGGAGGCATTTCTTCCTGCAACAGAGGGAATCAGGCTGGGGGAGGGTGTGGCCTCCTGCGCAGACTCCTTTGGCTCAGCCCCAGGCCTTTACTCTGGAGGAGGCAGCAAAGTCTGCTAGAATCTGGGGGCCTCAACTTTGAGTCTTCATTCTCTTCTAGTTGTGTAGCCCTAGACAAGTCATATGCCTCCCCAAAGCCTCAGTTTCCCAATCTGTAAAATAGGGTCGAATTAGTTCCAAATTCGTAGGGTTTCCGTGAGGATGATGTAAGATTCTGGTATATCATGCTTATGACAGTTTTCCTCACATACTCAGCAACCAATCCATTGTCACCACTCCTATTATTATCATTAACATGCAGGGTTCATGTTTTGGTCTGAATTAGGACAACATGCTGCCACTTTTTTTACTGCCCAATTATTGACTTCTCTGTGGGTGCTGTACCTAGCCTATGTATACGAAACTTCACTTCTGTTCTTTTTAAAAGAAGTCTTGAAGCCAGACAAGCCTGGGCATCCTCTGCTCTGTTCAGTGTCTTATGGGTGTTTCCATGTGATTTTATTTGGGGCTCCATGTTATGTCCTATCTTAACTTTTGTGTGCCCCTCACACCACTACATTCCTCCTCATTTTTAAGAATTCTTCATTGAAGGCCTGGTACTGACAGAGTGTTATGAATTGGGCTCCTCACCTCTAGGAGATTAAGCTTTAGTTAGGGAGATTAGACAAACATATCTATGAAAAAGTAACAAACCACCCCAAAACAGTATTTCAAGTTCAGAAGAAGAATCCGGGTGTTCAGTACTTTAGATGACCAGAGTTTGGAACAATTGCTTGCAATTTGGTTCTGGTTTTGAGACTTTGCGCAGGATGCCTCCTGATCACAGCCAGGTTCTAGAAACAATAACTAACCATGAAAGAGGCTTCTATTCATTCAAGAAAAGTTTGCAATAGGCTTCAATACTGAACCATTTCTAACGTATTCTAATCCTTTTCAAAACAACCCTTTGAGCCAGGTAAGCAATAGCCTTCAAAGACACCAAGGTCACATAACTAAAAAGAAGCAGACTTGGGAGCCAGTTCTTTGTGACTCTCAGCTTATATTCTGCACAGCTGGACTGCAGGAGGAAACTAGAGCTAGCAAAGCCATTAAAATCCCACATGTGCTGGGCACAGTGGCACACGCTTGTAATCCCAGTGGCTCAGGACTGTGGCAGGAGGATCACAGGTTCAAAGACAACCTCAGCAACTGAGCAAGGCACTAAGCAACTCAGTGAAACCCCATCTCTAAATAAAATATTTTTTAAAAGGGCTGGGGATTGGCTCAGTGGTTAAGCAATCCTGGGTTAAATCCTCAGTACCCAAACAAACAAACAAAYAACATGTCAGTTCTCTGCGGGGGCTGCCTAAGGCCTGAGGGGCAATAGCATGTCCCAGGAAAGCGTGTGAGTGCCTGAGTGAGCCTGAATTCATGCCTCAGTCCTTCTTCGTGCCAGCAACTTGACCTTGGCCTTGGTTTCCTCATCAGGAAAAAGAAAGTGACATTGCCTAGTTTGCAGGGGGGCTGCATGAATTCATGGTGAGCAATAATATTTGTGATTTCATCGTATGGAACCAGACAGATCTACCAAAACCAGGAGCTAGTATTAGTAGCAGTAGCAGATGTGGCAGTGGAAATGGAAAGAAATCTGGGGGAAAAAAAGAAGAAAAACAGAACTTGGTTATTATGTCCACTTCTTGTGATTTTTCAGAACTTTTTAAAGAGTTAGTAAATGACACACCATTAGGATGACTGTCAGGAGAGAAAAAAAAAACAGAAATGTTGGCAAGATGTGGAAAAATTAGAACCTCTGTGCTCTATTAGTAGGAATATAAAATGGCTTAACCACTATGGAAAACAGAATGGAGATTCCTCAAAAAKTTAAAGATAAAACTACCATTTGATCTAACAATCTTACTTCTGGGTACAAATCCCAAAGAATTTAGTGCAGAGTTTCAGAGATAATTTGCACACACATGATCAAAGCAGCCTTATTTACAATAGCCAAGAGGTGGAAGCAACATAAATATCCAATGAAGGAACAATGGCTAAACAAAATGTGGTATATAAATACAGTGGAGTATCAGTCAGACTTAAAAAAAGGAAATCCTATCACATGGTACATCATGAATTAACCCTGAAGACATAAGTGAAATAAACCTGAATAAAGAGATAAATACTATATTCCAATTGTCCGAGGCATCTGAAATGGTCAAAATCAGAACCAGAAAGCAGAGTGGCAGTTGCCAGTCGCTGGGGGGAGGGGTGCATAGGATTGCTGTTTACAGAGTGTAGAGTTTTACATTTGCAAGATAAAAAAAAAAAAAAAAAGTTCTAGAGACCTATTTCACAGCAGTGTAAGTATACTTAAAATTATTTAACTCTACACTTAAAAATGACTAAGACAATAATTCCAGGTTCTGCTTTTGACTATACAAAAAATATTTTATCACCACTAGACTATGTGATAAGCCATAAGTAAAGTAAGACTCATTCTTGAGATTGAGAAGTCACTGTATATTGTGTGCCATGTGTATGTTTAATTAATCTTTTTCTTTCCAGTAATGCCATTGGGCCCCTGGTAGCTTTGTGGCTGATTTATGAACACGGTGGAGTGATGCAAGAAGCAGCTACTCCTGTCTGGCTGCTGTTTTATGGAGGAGTTGGAATTTGTACAGGTCTCTGGGTTTGGGGAAGAAGAGTGATCCAGACCATGGGAAAAGACCTCACTCCAATCACACCTTCCAGGTGAGCCAACAGGTTGGGTTGACAGGGCTTGGCTGTTGAGGCCTGCTGTCAAGCCTRAGTTGGTGTCTGAGAGCACCCATGCTGCTTGTCCACCATCAATGATCACAAGTGAGGAAGGGGCAAAGGACAAGAGCGACCCCCTCTTCCACTTTTGTTCACCACTGGTCACCCCCCTCTGTCACCACACTCCCCTGACTCACCTACAGTGGCACTGAGATGTGGGACAGAAAGGTTCAGAGGGAAGTAGTAGCTGAAGCAGAGCAGGAGGGAAGGGAAAATGGGAAGCCTGTGGCAGCCCCCAGTGTCCTTCCACTGTTGGTTTTCCCATTATGAAACCCTGAGAGCAAGTGGAGAGGAAGGGTAGGGCAAACAGCACCAGTGTCTGGGCCCATCTTTCTCCAAAATTCCTTATGCACATCAGCTCTACCTGTTCTAGGGAAGCTGTCATCCGAGCACATCAGGCTTCTTTTCTGTTTGATTTTCAGCACTATAACAAAATACCTGGAGAGGTAGCTTAGTAGGAGAGCACTTACCTAGCATGCATGAGACCCTGGGTTCAATCCCTAGCATCTAAAAACAAACCAAATACCTGAGATAACCAACTTAGAAAAAATTTATTTTGGATTGCAGATTTAGAGGTTCTAGTCCATCATAGGTTGGCCTCATTGCTTTGGACCGGTGGTGAGGCAGCACTCTGGCAGGAACATGTAGCAGAGAAAAACTACTCACCTCTCAAGCCAGAGAGAAAGAAAAAGCTGGGGTCTCAACATCTCTTTCAAGGGCACACCCAGTGACCTAAGGATTTCCCACTAGGTCCCATCTCCCAAAAGTTCTACCACCTCTCGATATACTATCCTGGTGATCAAGCCTTTAATGCATGGGTCTGTGGAAGACATTAAGGATCCAAAGTATAAACATCGATGCTGCTGTGTGTCAGTGTAGTATTCTGATTTTAAGTCCTTTGAATATATACCAAGGAGTGGAATAAGTTGGTCAAATGATGGTTCCATTCCAAGTTTTCTGAGGAATCTCCATACTGCTTTCCATATTGGCTRCACCARTTTGCAGTCCCACTAGCAATGTATGAGTGTGCCTTTTCCCCCACATCCTCGACAACATTTATTGTTACTTGCATTCTTGATAATTACCATTCTGACTAGAGTGAGATGGAATCTCAGTGTAGTTTTAATTTGCATTTCTCTAATTGTTAGAGATGTTAAAAAAACGTTTTTTCATATATTTTTGACCACTCATATTTCTTCTGTGAAGTGCCCGTTCAGTTCTTTTGCCCATTTATTGATTGGGTTCTTTGTTTTTTTGTTTTTTGGGGTGAGGGGGTTTTGGTATTAAGTTTTTTGAGTTCTTTATATATCCTGGAGATTAGTACTCTATCTGAGGTACAGGTGATAAAGATTTTCTCCCATTCTGTAGGTGCTCTGTTCAAGGTCTTGATTATTTCCTTTGCTGTGAAGAAGCCTTTTAGGGGCTGGGGATATGGCTCAAGCGATAGCGCGCTCGCCTAGCATGCGTGCGGCCTGGGTTCAATCCTCAGCACCACATATAAAACAAAGATGTTGTGTCCACCAAAAACTAGAAAATGAATATTAAAGAATTCTCATTCTCTCTCTCTCTCTCTCTCTCTCTCTCTCTCTCTCTTTAAAAAAAAAAAAGAAGCCTTTTAGTTTGATACAATCCCATATATTGATTCTTGATTTTACTTCTTGTGCAATGTTTACAGCAGTTCAACTTATAATAGCCAAGCTATGGAACCAATCTAGGTGCCCTACAACAGATGAATGGATAAAAAAACGATATGGTATATATACATAATGGAATATTACTCGGCCATAAAGAAGAATGAAATTATGGTATTTGCCAGTAAATGGATGGAATTGGAGAATATGATGCCAAGTGAAATAAACCAACCCAAAAAAACCAGATGCGGAATGTGCTCTCTGATATGTTGATGCTAATCCGCAACAAGGGAGAATAGGGAGGGAAATATTAGAAGTTTATTGGATTAGACAAAGGGGAATGAAGGGAAGGGAAGAAAGATGGGAATGGGAAAGACAGGAGAATGAATCAGACATAACTTTCCTATCCTTATATATGAATACACAACCAGTGTAACTCCACATCATGTACAACCACAAGAAATGGGATCTTAATCAGAATAAGTTATACTCCATGTATGTATAGTATGTCAAAATACACTCTACTGTCATATATATCTAAAAAGAACAACAACAAAAAGATCCAAAGTAGTGCCTTCCTTTCCTAAAAATTCTCCATCCACCCCAGCTCTCACCCACCATCCTTCTGTAGTTACCTTAGGCATCCTCTCTAGCTCAGCCAGATGGGATGTGCCCCTGCTATTCTGGGGCGGGGATGGGAGGGGGGTCCGGAGCTTTACATGTGGTCGTTCTCTCATACAGCTTCTAGATATATAAGGGGTTAATTGACAAACTTAGAACTTTCAGAATACAACTACCTATTACAGGAAGTCTTTGCTCTTGTTTTAAAATGTACTAGAGCTCTTCATTTGCAATTTTTTTCTGATTTTCAGTTTACCCCTTGAGCTTCATTTTAACAAGATTCTTTTAGAAGGTTGCTTTGAACAAGCATTAATAATCTGTGAAAAAATTTGCTTTTTTGTAATAAGCACACATTTAAAAAATGAAAGCATAGTTTTTCTTATGCTCCTTTAGAAAAATGACTAATTTATCATCTTATTACACAGCAGGAATTTCTGACCCAGTTCCTGCAGTGTGGGATTTTTGAAAACGTATCAGGAAAAAAAGGCTGTTTGGGACTGTCAACAAGTATAATGAGTATAATGCAAAGTCTTAGTGTGAATTGTTGCCATTATGCAGCAGTTTCTTGTTCTGCTAATGGCAGTCTGTCCCAGTCAGCAGTCAACCAAAGAATGTTCTGGTGAGACTTTGCACCCACGGGGTGTCAGTGAGGCCAACAAAGAGCGCCTATGATATGTCTTCTTGTGCTCCCTCCTGCAGCGGCTTCACCATTGAACTGGCCTCGGCATTCACTGTGGTCATCGCCTCCAACATTGGGCTTCCTGTCAGCACCACACACTGCAAGGTAGGCCTCTGCCAGCAGAGGATTGTCCTTTCATGGGGCTGCTAGGATCAGCCCAGAGTCACCAAGTGAATTCCAGAAAAGCTGGTAGCTCTTTTTATATGTGATTGTGTGGGGGGTGGAAAAAAGCATCTCGGGGTTTGCCAGGTCTCCAGAAGCTTGTTGGATGTGCGTATTTGCTTTCCTCAAACTGACCCTTCTGACCCAGCCCCTTTCCTGCTCTGTAGTAGGGCACCTTTTACAGTTCAAACTTTGCTCTCTCAATGCGTGAATATAAGGACCTTCCTTCCTTACACGTGGGCTTCACGCTTCTCTTTTGGCTTGTGCCTCCCTCATTGTTTCCACTCTGGATTTTGCATTAAGGTCATGTGTGTGCTAACCGTGTGGCTCAAATAGGGCATGCCCCTGAGTTCCAACTCATTACTGGGTTCCAGGGCTTGACCATGGAAGTAGAAATAGAAATAAATCATCTCCATGGCTGTGTCAGGGTTTTTCTCTTCCTATATCATGTTCAAAGTGACTATAAAGCCTTAGAGTAAGTTCCAAATKAACTTAAATTCCCAGTGTGGACCCTTGCTGAGTGCTCTAAGACACAGAGCTGAACAAGAGGGAATTCCTTGTCATGGTGGTCAAATGGACAGTGAGGAGTTTTAATTATTAATGAAGAAGAAATAGACTCCATGAGTTTCGGGAGATTATCTAAAGTCAAGCAGGGGGAACCAGGACTAGAATACAGTTACAATAGCCTAAGTCCGCCCAGAATCTGAAGATAATTCCAAAATATCCCCCATGGGCCTTCTGTATGCAGAAATACTCACCACCCTCAACAAAGCAAAAGCCACTTCTAGATTTTTCCCTAGTTTCATTTATTCATATCATTCAAGAAAAGCTCATTTGTACTTGCCATGCTCTGGGCTCCTGGGGGAATGCAGCAGCCACAAGATAGACATGGTTATCTACATTTACCTATGACTTTAAAATTCCAGCCAATATGTTTATAAACAAATGCCAGTTAAATGCAAATGACTTTGTACTTCAAATGTTTAGATAGGGTGGCATTTATAAGAGTACTCTAAGTGGACCAGAATGTTTAAGACAAAGCTGGGACATGTGGCTTGAAGAGTCAGCCTCAGTGGAAAGAAGTTTCTTGGKTTTTTTTCCTTTTTTTGCTACACTTAGAAAAACCTCAATTTTTATAAATTCTCACTATAAAGATCACTTCCACTTACCAAGTATATGCAGAATGCCAGGCCCTGTGCTTAGTGCTTTATTCCTGCACAATACAACATTAACTTCCCATAGTAACCTTGTGAAATTAGTAGTTATTTCCAGTTTATAGATGAGAACACTGAGGCCTCCAGAGTTAGATCACTTTCCAAAAATCATAGAGTTATCATGTGATAGAATCAGGATTCAAATCTTCATCTCATGCTATGTACCTCCTAATTGTAGTCACGATAGTCATTGTCATAGTAACCAACCAATGACTAACATGTATAGGGCAAGTATTTGCTGAGTACTCTTTGGAGTGTACCCAAAGAGATAAAATATTAATTTATTTTATCTTCCCAAGAACTTTAAATATATATATATATACAGAGAGACAGTGCCTTTATTTTATTTTTTTATATGTTGCTGAGGATCAAACCCAGAGCCTTCCACATGCGAGGAAAGCACTCAACCACTGAGCTACAACCCCAGCCCTTCCCAAGAACCTTTTGAGGTAGATAACTAAGATTTCTCCAGTTTCACAGATGTGGAAACCAGGGCTTAGAAAGGTTAAGTAATGTGCCCAAGGGTGCACAAGCAAGGAATAGTCACACTGAGGTATCAGCATAGGTTGTGTGGTTCCAAGCCCTGCTCCCCAATTCTCTGCTCTTGCCTCTTCAGGATAAGGGAGAGGACAGGGATAGGTGTGAGGTGCTCCTATCAATCATCATTGTTATTTTTCTAATTTTGATTATTTAAAAAATTACCAAAAGGACTGGGGTTGTAGCTCAGTGGTAGAGCACTCACCTAGCATACATGAGGCCCTGGGTTCCATCCCTAGTACCACAGTATATAAAAATAAGAATTACTAAAGAAGTACATATTTATTGAAATATTTCAAACAATGTGAAACTATGAACGAAAAGTGGTCATCAGAAGACTGAGGCAGAAGAATTACAAGTTTGAGGCCAGCCTTAGGAAGACCCTGCCTCAAAATAAAAAATAAAAAGGGCTGGGATATGGCTTAGTAGCCGAGGTAGTGACCCTGTGTGCAATCCCCAATACTTACAAAAAAAAAAAAAAAAAAAAGGAAAACTGACCATCTTCTTCCCCCTATTGTACCTCTCTTCAATTCTCCATTTCATTATGTGGGAACATAGAAAAAAAATACATATTGTTTTCCAAGTTTTTTTTCCAAGGCTTTTACTTTTTTATGTTTTTATTGGTACATTATAATTATACACAATAGTAGGAGTCATTGTGAGTTATTCATCAATTTCAATCCCAGTGTGCCCAAGTACTCTTGCCTGCCCCCACCCTCCAATCCCCTTCTTCTACTCTCCTGGTTTCCCTTCAATGGGTGCATTATACTTATATGTAAAAGTGGGATTCATTGTGATATATTTGTACATGCACATAGCATAAAGGATAATGTAGCAATAGTTGGCTCTTTGAAAACATTAACAAGATTGTTAAACCCTTAAACTTTTTAACTTTTCTGTAGGCATAAATAATCACTGTCTTTTTAATGGTTAACTGCACTTTAGCAAACTTTTAAAAGCATACTCTCACACTAGTTGAAATATCTCTTAAAAAAAAAAAAAACAGCACCAGTTTGGTTTTCCTAGGTAACTGTTTCTTACCTAACTACATTAGCATTTACACTAATGTGTAAAGTATTATAACTGATAATACTGACTTTGCTAGTAACACTAAAATCTAGAATACAACTTCTAGAAATAGATGAAAAGTATAAAATGCCTTTAAAAAGTAATCTATTCATTTTTATCTTTTAATATCATTTCCCCAGTATTTATATTTACACTATAAAAAAGAGATGTTATTAAGGGATTCATATCCAGTTTGTACAGGACCTTTGTGAATGAATATGTTATTGCTGACCTAAAGTAGCTATACAAGGCATTTGATAAGTTTTGTGTCTGTGGGATGTGATACTTGTTGGCACCTAAAGCAAGTCTTCTTCTCATTGGACCACAGCGGGATGTCATCAGTGAAATGGACAAGACAGAGCTCAACTTGGATTCTTATCAGTTTGTTCAGTGTCATTGATCATGGACTTCTGGACAAAGACCAGAGCTAGTCACTCTAGGAGGCACAAGAAGAGTCCTGGCTCATGAGAACATACAGGGCTGTGGGAGAGCAAACCACTCACATCAAGTCCAGATAATAGAAGTGCTAGGAAGAGGTCACAGCTGCCATCGCCCTATAACACTCTTTTAGATCACATATTTCCTCTGCATGCAACAATCCCCAAATGCAAACGTGGGATGAAGTATGAAAGAAGTGGGATGGTATTAAGAATGGGGCCTGTGTGGGGGGAGCCATGAGTCCGTACACATTCAGAGGGTGTTGATGTCCATGTAAAATCATAACCAGATTGTATCCRATTTTCAAGAGTAATTATCCTGCATTTGATTTTTAAGTTTCTTGCTTGGAGCCATCCATTTGAAGGTGGGCAAACGTAGGGAAATTGGCAGGAAAAAAGATGGAAACTCTTTTTTTTTAATGAGCTTTTGAGTTTATCTGGGTAGATTTCATTTATTCATACTTTCACCTAAGGGAACATAATTTARTGCATAGTTTAAATTTTGTCATAACCTATTTAAAATGTTTTGTGATATGAATGTTAGCTGAATGTATAATTCAGAAAAGAACAAATAGAAAAAGTGTATCACATTTTATTTCAAAAGCACATATAAAACAATCTGCTTTGATTATAGATTTTGCTCTCTAGAAGYATTTACATTTTATACATTTTTGTGTCTCATATCAGAGGGCTCAKTTTACTAGATATTTTCCTAGGGTAAAATCTCTGAGTAAGGTCAAAAGCTTGGGGTTGTGGTTCAGTGGTAGAGTGCTCATCTAGCATGCATGAGGCACTGGGTTCTATCCCCAGTACCATGTAAAAATAAATAAATAAATAAAGGTATTGTGTCCATCTACAACTAAAAAAAAATTTTAAAGAGAATCTGGGGCCCTTTTTTTAAAAAAAAAAATCTTCATTAAAGAAATATAGACTAGCCCTTGAAATAAAAATATCCTGAAATATTCAGCAATTCGTTCATTGTTCACTTCTGTGAACCTTAATCCACTTTGATCTTTAGCTCTAAAGCATAACGCATACCACATTAAGACCATTGCTGAACACAGACACTTGTTTGTGAGCTTTCTGATAGGAATTCTGAGTGGTCTTATTTAAAATTTTTTAATTCCATAGTGGGCTGGATTGAGATTACTGTCATTTGTGAATTATCCACATTGTCAACCTGTTAGTGACATAGATGATTTCAACTGGTGTTAGGATTTAGAACAGCATATAAGAAATCCTAAGGATTTAAAAATTTAGAATTATAATTTCTAATTTAATCTCTGATTTTGCTCTCTGTTTTCCCTACTCCTTAGTAGTTCTGCTATTAGTTTTATGATGATGATCTTAAGCTGRACCCATATTTAATTTATTAAAAGGCAAGTTAGAATACAGCAAAAAATGTTCTTTTATATCAACAAAAGACACAATCAGTAGTGATGACATAATACTGTGGAACTTTTATGAGCCAAATAATATATAACAACTAAATCATGTACATTAGGTGAAACTGTCACAGCTTAGACATTAATATGTTCAATCCTATAACAAATGAAGCAGAGGAAAAAGTACTGAGGGGTAAAAAAGGAATTACACAGTATAATTACCAGCTGTATATCAAATTGGTATCCTACTAATCATAGGCTTTCTTATTGGGTATCATGAAAATTAATCATAAATTCAGAAGACCATTGACAAAATTTTAAAAATAGAAGTTGTATTAACTACAACCTCTAATCACAGTGTGTCAAGCTAGAAATTAAGTAAATATTGGAATAAGAATGTATCCCTTGGAGCTGGATGCAGTGGCACGTGCCTATAACTGCCATTAACTCAGGAGGCTGAGGCAGAGAGATTAAAAGTTTGAGGGCAGCCCCAGCAATTTGGTGAGACCCTGACTCAAAATAAAAAGTAGAAGGGGCTAGGAATGTAGCTCAGTGGTAGAGCTCCCCTGGCCTCAATCCCCAGTACTACACACACACACACACACACACACACACACACACACACACATACACATGTCCCCTTGAACAGTTTTTAATGCTTTTTAAAGTAACAATTGAATCAAGGAGTTTTTAAAACAATACAGTGACAGCTTTCTTGGAAAATACTAAAAACTCTGTGCATGTGTGTTTCTGTGTGTACACATAGCAAAACCTGTGGCAACTGAAGCTCCACTAAAATGAAAATGCCTATCTTTAAATGGTTCAGTTTATCAAAGGAAAAATAAAATAAGCAAATATTCAAATTAGGATTTTATAAAAAGTCCACAATAAAAATTCTGAAGAAAGATATAAGAGTATAACCAATTAAAACAAATTTAAAAATAAAAAAAAGATGGTCAACTGAAAAAAAGAAAGATTTAAGAAGTATTTAAAGCAAAATTTTTAAAATAGTGAAGAAGGAGATGGAGTGGTTACTAATAAAATTTATCAAATCACATCAAAGGAAAACAAAGGAAGAGGAGTTAAGTTAAAAGGAGAAAAGACATTGTAGGAACAGATATAAAGAATTTGGTGTTTTTTCTTGAAATGGTGTTACTATGTTGCCAAGGTTGGCCTTGAACTTCTGGGCTCAAGCAACCTCAGCCTCCCAAGCAGCTAGGACTCCAGGTGTGCTCTACCCTGTCCAGCTTGAAGAGAATTCTTTTGTTTCTTTTTTTAAATCATGAAAGGAACCACACAGCTGTATGTGAAGGGTCTGAAAACCTATGTGAAATGAGTTAGCTTTTGCAAAATGTACATGACAAAAAAAATACTGACATAAGAGGTAGAAAAATGTAGAGAAACCTGACCAGAGCAATAGAATGAAAATAAGGGAGTTCTTCAAAAAAAGTTATCCTCCCCAAAAGAGCAAAAAGAATGTGGCACCTCTGACTCCTGTTCTAATTCGTCATTTCCATTAAAAAAATAATAATAGATAATTCCATTATCATATAAATTTTCCACAATGTAGGAGGAAAAAAAAGCAAAACAAAACTAGAATATTTCCAGTGTATTCTMTAAAGTATACACTGAATAACCCTAATTCTGAAAACCTAACTAAAATATCACAAACAAKTGTGAAAATTCAGCAAATTGTGGTAAAATGTAAGAAGATAGGGAACATAAAATGTATTGCTTTAACCATTTTAAGTGTAAAACTGTGTGTCAGTAAGTACATTCACATTGTTGTACACCTGCTGCCCAGTACATTGTCTACCTGAGTACTTTCTGTATGTATATCATTAAGTAAAAAACAAACAAATCCACCCACAAAAAAAATCACAAACAAAAAAACCTATCTTCACCTATGAATATTGATTTAAAACTTTAGGATGTTAATAAATGACATCAAAAGAACATTTCAGCACTTGTAAGTAGAACCTTCTGGATTATCAGGAAGTAGGCTCTGTGAATTCTCTATCTCTGTGGGACCTGACCTCACAGGGGATCCACAGAAATGTGCTGAGTTCCAGGAAAGGTAAGAGGACATCTAGAGTAAAAAGCCCAAGCCCAAGAGAAAGATAAAAAATCTAGAGCTTATCATCATAGCCAGTTAGAAAAGATAACGGAAATTAAAAGGGAGAAAAAATTCTTCCATGATTTCAGGGGGGGRAAAAAGTCATTTTAGAATAATCCTAGGAAGAAATGTGAATGATGTATACGAAAAAGGCCTAAGTCTTTGCTTAGAGATATGAAAGAAAACCAGAATATGAGACATACTGTGAGATGGGATGGGGGAAACTACGTTTTATAAAGATATCCCAAATACATACCTCCAACATACCCGCCCCCGCCCACAGAATTTTTCTTGGTACTTTACAAAGTGGGATTATTCGGGGTAGGATAAATTATCAGGAGTATCAAATGGTGTAAAAAGAGAAGTGATGAGGAGAGACTAATGGTATGTGTTCTAAGGAAATATGGGTTAAAAGTAGGTGCTGGGGGAAAGGATCTCTTCTCCCCTTTTTCTTCACTATTATTTAAAATTTAGTTTCCTTTTATGTTTCTTACGTTTACTGTTTCCGAAGTGTTTAGTGAGTACCAAGTTTCAATTTGGGGTGATGAAAATGGTCTGGAGGTGGATGGTGGTGAAGGTTGCACAATAATCAGATGTACTTAAATGCCTTTAAAAATAGTTAAAATGGTAAGTTTTATGTTATGCAKATTTTATCMCAATAATATTTTTAAAAATATATATTTGTATAAGAACAGATGAAACCTATCATATATGAGCATGTTTATAGAAGGAAAAAATTTAACCAGTAAGTAACATTGAGTAGCTAGAAAAACAAAATTAGACCCACAGCTCTCCAATTACATGAACATAAATCGATGGCTTTAAATAATATTTTAAGAATATTATTAAATTTAGAATAAAATAGAATTTTATTTTAGAAAATTTAGAATAAAGTAGAATTAGGTATTTGTCAAATATTCAAACTAAGGATAAATCACAGAATAAAAGTATAACATATTTATTTATTTATTTATTTATTTATTAAAGAGAGAGTGAGAGAGGAGAGAGGGAGAGAGAGAGAGAATTTTTAATATTTATTTTTTAGTTCTCGGCAGACACAACATCTTTGTTGGTATGTGGTGCTGAGGATCGAACCCGGGCCACACGCATGCCAGGCGAGCGCACTACCGCTTGAGCCACATCCCCAGCCCAAAAGTATAACATATTTAATTGCATGAAACTGGAAATTCCAAAATGAAGCAAAGCAAAATTCCTAGATTGAGAAAGTATTTATATTAGATATCACAGTTAATATTATTATTCAATAACATTCACACATAAATAAATAAAGGGCACATTAGATTCCAATATGTTAAATGGGCAAAATACATGAAAAAAAAACTTTTATATGTTAAAAACTAGAAGGAATGAAATTGGGTAACTACACAAAAGAAAGTTCAACTGGCACAGAGGTGTACACCTATAATCCCAGCAACTGGGGAAACTGAGGCACAGATCACAAGTTGGAGTCTCTAGTCTCAGCAATTTAGCAAAGCCCTAAGCAACTTTATAAGACCCTGTCTCAAAAAATAAAAAGCCCTGGGGATGTAGCTCAATGGTAAAGTGCCGCTGGGTTCAATCCCCAGTCTTAAAAAAAAATGAAGTTCAGCCTTAGTTGTGATTAAAGATATGCAAACTGGGCTGAAGATTAACTGCCTTTAAATATGCTAGTTTTTTGGTTTCCAGTTTGCTTCCATCTTAAGTGTTCTATTTTATTTTTCTGTAGTTAAATTACTCATGCTTTAAATCACCTTTCCTGTTTGAATCTCATTGGCCACTGTTAAGTGTTTGGAGATTAATAGAGACAAAGCATATTTTATGTAGTTCTTTAAAATCCAACTTGCATGTGACCAAGGGGCACCCTATTAAACTCTCAGCATAATCAGTCCCCCTGTGAGGCATGAGATATTAAAAGCATTGTATTTTCTTAGGATTTTCATTTTCTAGGATAATGTTATATTTTTTTTTCCTTTCAAAAATTTCAACAAGCCATAAATGAACTTTGAGTGTTTTTGAAAAATACTTGAATTAATATTAACATTCTAATTTGCACATGTCCATATCTGTCACCTTATGAGTCATAGTTGATAGTTTAGATTCAATAATATTTATGTGAATTGTAGTTGAAAATGTACATCACAACTATATATGGAATGGAATAATCCTAAAACAATTGTGCCTAACAAACATTTAACAAACTTAGGGGAAATAATTGTCAATTTTATAATGTAGTTTATTTCTGTGCTTAGCCTATTTACATTGGTTAAATGTAAATTTTGTGTCTCACCTTTAAATACAGGGGCCTCGTTTTTACTTTTAAATGTTTGTGCTTCTGCAGGTGGGTTCCGTGGTGGCTGTGGGCTGGATCCGCTCCCGAAAGGCCGTGGACTGGCGCCTCTTCCGTAATATCTTTGTGGCCTGGTTTGTGACTGTCCCAGTGGCTGGGTTATTCAGTGCTGCTATCATGGCTCTTCTCATATATGGGATCCTTCCATATGTGTGATTTGTCTTCTTCCAACCAGTAAACTAAAGGGATAGTCTAGCATGGGTATGTGGAAGGTGTTCCCTCATATCTCTGTCTCTCTCTCTCTCCACCCCTCTCCCTCCCTCCCCCGCCCCGACACACACACACACACACACACACACACACACACATCCCAACCACACACAGCTGTCTCCCAGCCAGCTCTCCACATCCTTTTCAAATGGTTCCAGACTACACACCTCACCCAGGCTGCAGAAATTCATCTTCCAGAGCTAACTTAACTACTGTACATAGTAATATGTATTAAACTGTTATCGTGGTGATATAATGTGGTGCAGTTACTTATATATTAAATATATATTGTATACATAGAATAGGTAGCATTATTTCAAACATTCAAAATGGGAGTGGAGGTTATTGCCTAGAATTCAATATTCAATAAATCTTGTACATAATGATTTCTGTGGCAAATGTTAAGGCTTTTTCAAAAGAAAGTATAGATTGGAAAATCTTTTTTTGCCCCCCTCCATGATACTTTCTTCTTTAATATACTGTAAGATAAATGAGATATAAGATACACAATACAAACTTGGGCAGGTGTACATAGGCCCACATGTGATTAAATAATACCAGGACAGAGTTCACAAGTGCTTTCACTGAAGTATTTGTTCATATACTATGTATGGATTATTGTGTAATATATCATAATTACTTTTGTAAATACTTAAAACTGTAATTTTTTAATGGTGTGCTTCCCTTATACTTTTTTGATCAGAGAATTTTGGARAGTACCAAAGAAGCAGGGGAATAGTTTGCCAGTATTATTTTTTCACGTTGTTTGTACCCCCTCCTCATTAACCTGGATGTAGTAAGACCACCCAAGCTCTGACTTGTCCTAGAGCATTGTGTGTGGTTGAGACACCAGCGCCCATCCTGTTCATATCACTCTTGGATTCCCCACCCCACCAGCACCACCACTGCTGCCACATACCAGATACTGGTCAGCCCTGCAGTGGCCTTTCRTTGTCACCAGCGTGGAGAATGTACAGATGTAAGGATGTGTAACTAGACACTACACATCAATCCAGTTTAAATTTCCATCCCTGTTCTCCCCTGCAGCTTGAAAAAAGGGATTGTCTCAAACTTTAAAGCCAGTGAGGCTTTTTTATTGCTTTGACATTCTAGAAATTCAGGGGCTGGAGTTGAATACTAAAGGTACACTGGGTGTGAGGATTTCCTTGAGGCCTTTATTAAGTGGGAGATCCTGATGCTCTCTTGTAGTCCCACTGGATTCTCTTCTCTTTTGATAGCGGGAGGAAGTATGACTAATGTTAGAGCCTGAAACTATGGAAATGCTGCTAAAATTTTTATATTGACAAACATTTTCTCGGTACTTCATTGTGATTTTCATTAATCAACCATATTAAATTTATAATAAAAAATGCCCCTCAAAAGTTTGCTTCTGAAGTCTTTTTCTGAATAGCTACAAAATGTTTATCTTTCAGAGTTTCCACAAAAATAAAAGCTATATAATTTGGCCTCTTAGTTTTCAGATACATTTTCTCCCCTATTTTACTACCCCTACATGTTATGCAGAAAATACACAGGAACGAGAAAAGGAAAGAATGGCCTACACAACCAGGATTCAGAAATCCCTACTGGGAACAAACACATACAGATTGGAGCTGTCTGACCACAAGGTTTGTCCCTGGATCAGGACTTTGCTAAAGGAAGTACCCCTCTTCCTGCTCAGCCTCTCCAGCTTGGCTCATAAGTTAGCCATACTTCCAGGCTAAGGGCCAGCAGGTAAGTGCAGATCCTATCTATCTGGGCACAAGCAGCCAACAACAACAAAACACCTGAGGCTTCAGAGGAAAATATCCCCCTTAATATTCTGCAGCAGCAGCAGCAGCCAAAAGCTGCCTTCCCTTCAGGAGCTAAGGAGGTAGCAGATGATGGCGTCTTACTCTGTAGCCCAGTTGGCCTCTAATTTCTGAGCTCAAGTGATCGCCTACAGGAGCATGCCCCCATGCTGAATCACTGATTTTTTTAAGTCACCTGATGCCTTTCATTTTCCCACTTTTGATAAAGATTTTGATAAAGAAAGTGCAATATGTTCCAAAATCTATAACAAAAATAGCAACACAACACAATGCAAGCAATACTGCACAGACCAGTCTGGTGGATGCAGGCAGTAGATCCTTTCTAGTTTGCAGCCCCTGTCCTTGGAGAACTGCCACCTGAGTCCTGACGCAGCTCCAAGTAGGCGGGTGGCAGAGGCAGATTTCCAGCAAGTGAATGGGGACAAAGGTCATGCCTCACCAGCAATGTTTTGAGAGAAGCCTTGCACACTACACCCCCTTTCCCAGGTTTTATTATCTGACAAACAGATGGGCTAGCCACTTGACAATTGAACCCCCTAGAGGAGGGGAAAAGTCCACTCTAACCCAGACTCGTCCCCCTCAAGTCATTGCACAGCAAATGCTCTAGTGAATGGTGGAAGGGGCCCRTCAGGCCACGGGATGGGGAAGCAGATGCCCTGATTAGCCAATTGGTGATGGTAGGTTAATCTGGTCAGGCAGAAGGTAAGTTATGTCACAGGGGAGGGGATGGATGCTGGTAGAAGGCTCTRGTGGGCCAGTAGCCTGCAGTTATCCCCAAGAGTCTTTCCTCAGATTTCACCAGCCTCTGCTTTTAATAATGCAAACACTCTAAGAAGGAAACACATGAATCACTGGCATCTTAGTGTGTGTTCTAGACAGCTTTCCTACACGGAAGAGAACAGCCTGGGGCAGACAAGAGAGCCCTACATAGGGAGGAAGGACCCTGGAGACTCTTGCCCAGTGTCTGGGCTCCCCAGGGGCAGAGCTGGGACACTATTAAAAGCAGCTGGAACTCCTTGGACAGTTGTCTTTTTCTTCGATTTCTGCCTTCCAGAGGGACTGAACTCGTGAGCAACTATCTAATATCTTCAGCGAGGTAATTTTTTAAATAAATCCTTCCACCTCCACTTCCTAAGCTACAGCATTAAGCTTCAGAATTCTCAAGTAGTAGAAGAAAAAAAGTTTTAAATCCTACAGTTTGGAAAATAAAATGTAAAGATCAGTGTCATTAATGATTTTACTCGATTATAAAGCAGAACCAGGAAAAGGTAGAATTTAGACTACACACTGGGGCTGGGGTTGTGGCTCAGTGGTAAAGCGCTTGCCTAGCACATATGAGGCACTGGGTTCGATCCTCAGCACCACATAAAAATAAATAAATAAATAAATAAAGACTGTGTTCATCTACAACTTAAAAATTTTAAAAAAATGATTACGCAGTGATTTGCTGTTCTAAAATGAGATTGTATCCAGACTCTGCTTACCTGTGGGAGACCAAATTTGCCTGTTACCTTATAGTGATCCTGGAGGAGCAGCTCCTGGAGTCAGGCAAAACTGAATTCAGATTTCAGCTCCTGCTTATTGCAGTGACTTTGGGCAACTTCCTTAGTCTCTTGTTAGCTCCAGTTTCATATGCAAAATGTGTACATTGAGACCATCTCACAGGATTGTATATTGAAGGGCTTGGCCCAGAACAAGGACTCTATGAACTAGTGCTTGTTTTCATTTCCTGTACATGAAGCCTTTATTCATTACTTTTCTTTTTTTGAGATGGGAGAGTGTCTATCTTGCCCAGGCTGACCTCCAACTAGTGGACTCTCCTGCCTCAGTCAGCTTCCTGAATAGAATTCTGGGAGTGTTCCATACCTGATCTCACCACCTAATTTTTTTTTTTTTTTTTTTGTACTAGAGATTGAACCCAGGGGAGCTTTGCCACTAGGCTACATCCCCAATCCTTTATATTCTTTATTTTGAGAGAGGATCTCACTAAGTTGYTGAGGGTGTAAGTTGCTGAGGCTGGTCTTGAACTTTAGATTCTCCTGCCTCAACCTCCTGAATAGCTGGGATTACAAGTGCTGTGAGGACCACCACAACCAATCTCACTGCTTCAAATTTTTTTTGAACAATTCCCTCCAGAACTCCTCTGAGAACACTGAAATGGGTGCTGGAAACAGCTAGCTAAACAAGACAAAACTGCCTACAGACTAAAAGAAAGTGGAGTGTGGGTTATCTGCTTGTTTGATGGGGAAAAAAATGGGTGAGACCTATACAATGTGGTTAAATAAATAGGAAATGTAACCCTACACTTGAATTTTCACCCTCTTATATTTCTATAATATATCATCCTTTACTCTCAAAAAAGCAACAAAACAACCTGAAGGATATTATGAAAAAAGGAAAAATAAATCCCCACTACACCATCATCCCACCCCCATCCTTTTTGAAACATTTTCATTACCCTTATTTTATTTGGTCTTTGAAACACCTGGACCTGGCCAGGTACTGGGGAAATGAAGGCACAGAATGAGAAAACATTTAGGTAGCCAAATGGTAACAGGGATTGAGAAGACCCCAGGATTCCTGACCCTTATCTCAGTCTCTTCCAATTTAGCGGCTGTCAGACTGTCCTTCACTGCAGTCTCCATAAAAAAGGAGGACTGTTCAAAAAAGCAAACTCTATTTGTTGGTGGTTCATTGATTGTAACAAATGTGCTATATTAATATACTCTGTTGATAATAGGAAGGCTGAGGAAGCGAACAAATATGTGGGAATATTGTTACTTTCTGTTCAGATTTCTGTAAAACTAAAGCTGCTCTAAAAAATCAGGATTATTAATTTTTAAAGGATACATGTTTATAACAAAGATAAAAAATGTAAACAAACAAAAAAGTCTAGATCTAGAAGGAAGATTTAGAGAAGGAACACTGACCAGTGATTAAAAACTTGAAAAGGAAGTCTAGGAAGAAAAGGAAGGGGTTTGTTCTGCCTGTTTCTATGAAGGAAATATGAGGAATTAAATATGATTTTAAGTAAAGCATTCTCCAAGGTATTGAGAACAACCAACAGTTCTCCATGTGGCAAGATCTAAACCTACTTAAAAAGCAAAAGGGATTTTGGCCAGAGAAGAATGAACAATTTTCTTGCCTTTCCCCAGATTTGCCGCATAAGTTTAAACTAAACCCTGAATTTAAGAGATTCCAAACCATGAATTGATAGGGAAGGGGCAAGGATTGAACGACTCCAAAGACAGAAAGCACCACCCAGGTAACTAGAGCGGCACCTAGTGGTTTAATTACAACTATGACCCTTTAAAATTGCAGCAGGGAAGTCGTCTCACACAGTGTTATCATAATGTAGAGTTGCAAAAAAAATGCCAGAAATTATCTGTGCTTCCTTTGATGGTCTTAGGTGACCATGATCACTTGCAAAAGTCCTCATTACTGGAGAGTCTGACTTGGCTCACCCGCCTATGATGGCTTATTTTCATTCGTTCAGCAAACATCCAGGAGAGCCTCATGTGCTAGTTACTGACCTGGCCAGGATAGGAAGATGAAAAGACCACTAGGAGTTCACAGGCAGAAGAGAAGACAGATTAAACACAACTGCAGTGGGATTGTTGCCATCCTGAGGCTTTGGGGCAGAGCAGGAKCCGTGGGCAAGGGCTGCTAAGTGATTTGAGGAGATCAGAGAAGTTTTCAGACAAAAGGTTGAAATTTGGCAGAGACTGCAAGTGCAGAGTGGTCCTGGAAAGCATAGGTTGTTTGGGAAATAGTGGGTTCTGGATGCCTGCAGAATGTCCAAGGAGAAATATCTGACAGGAGATTTGGAGTTCAGGAGGGAATTCTAGCTGGCTTTAGGAAGCAGCTGTCCAGGAACCAGATGGGAGTAAGGGTGTCTAAAGGCAGAGTGAAGTCGGAACATGAGAATCTCTAGGAAGATGTGTCAAAGAACACACTGCACTTGCCCCAGCAACTCAAGTTTTGGGCACATTCCCACAAATCAATTTCTGGGAAAAGGTAGGAACCAACTACAGCTTCAAAGTGCACACACAAAATACTATTCCCAGTTCCATGTGCCTCGGCCATATTTAAAACCCACTCTGTACCCTTTCATTCATTCACCCAACAGAGGAAGGAAGTGTAGTTAGTTTTTTGTTGTGTTGTTGCTTTGGCTTGGTTTGGGGTTTGGGGTTTTCCCCCGCTGGGAGCTAGAAATTGAATATGGGGCCTT